GAGAGAGAGAGGAGAGTGAGAGTGAGGGAGAGTGAGAAAATTATGAATAACGAAATAGCCTGGTTACCAAACCTATCATAGTTCCCGAGTAGTAGCTCCCGAGTCCTACATCCTCTCTGCAAATAGGTCTGGACCCGCTTGATTCCCAACGAATTTACTAGTATTATAAAAGTACATGCACTAAGTCACTAAGTAGCTGGCTCATAAATATTCATTATTGAGCTCATAGTTGATTGGGTGACCTTTCGTTTTTCACCCCATCTGTTATTTGTTATCAGAGGTCACGCAGTCAGTTTGTCGCGATGTCTCGTGGCCAGACGCTGCCCGATCTCCACAACTTTTGCCGATTTTGCCTGTCAAATCAGAAGATACATGGCACGTTGCAGCACATTAGGAATATTTTTCAGTCCTTGTTACCCAAGAAGAAGTCGAGTGGACCGCCGATTGCAGATATCCTGCGGTCCTTAGGCGTAAGCCTGTCAGAACAGGACCTCACCAAGTCTCACAGAATCTGTGAGAAATGTTACCGCCAGGTACTCCGGGTCCAGGAGTCCATGAAAACCCTGGAGAAGTGGAGAGAAAAAGAAGGATGCAAGGTCAAGGATACACCGACCAAGGACATTATACCGACGAAGTCTCCAGCGCCAAATGCAACAGCAGGGGGAAAACGCGCCCGAGAAGAAACCCCGTCCGAAGCACCGCATGACCCCAAGAAACGGCTGATGTCAGAAACGCCGCCAAAAACAGCCGTGACATCGGGTGCGCAGCTTGTCAAGAAAAATATGAGCCACCTTCCAGCAAGAACGAGCGTCACAAAGGTATGATTTGCACATTTCTCTGCCGTGCCGTGTAGCGATGTGTTGGTACGCTTTGTAGAATGGTCTATTGTTGTTCGTCCGTCGAGTCGACGATGACCATTTGACATCAGCTTTTGGCGACGTCTCAGGGAGGAGCCTAATGGTACAGCAGCTGTATTGTGTGCAGTTCGCAAGAATTCTAGGAATTGTATTCACTTACTGTCTGGCATTTTGTCCTTTTGCATGGAATGTCTACAGGAATGTCTCCCAGCTCTGGTTGTTGACATGCCCACATTCCTGGTCACCCTTGGGAAAACCTGTCTGCCCCAGATGCCCTACATGTACTTTCTGTGACCCCGGGGCTCCCTCACTATACAACTGACATGCATCTTTCTTTTCTCTAGGTTACCATCAATTACCCGAGCAACCCTGGCAAGGTCTATACCCATCAATGTGTATCAGAGGTTTCTGGTATTGTGGAGAACCTTGCCAAAGGGAACCTGGGAACGAGTGCAAAGCTCATCATGCACCATCCAGCATTGACAAGTCACATCATGGAGCAGCTGAAAGAAAAGGCAAAGGCGGAAGTCACATCACTCATGGCAACATCACCGTCTCCCAGCATCCTGCGAAAAACAACACCACACGACCTGCAGAATTTCAACTACAGTGACATGGAGGCAGAGCTGAAGGCACGGGCACCTCTTCTTCATACAGTACTGTCCACAGTCTCTGACAACTCAACAGTTCACACATGTGTCGCAGCATCAGTAGCTATTCGCGGTACAGAACCAAGGATGTCTGCTTTGGCCTACACCATAGACGCCATTCTGCAGTGTGGTGGGACAACAAAATCTGCTAAAAGAATGCTATCCAAAATGGGAGTATGCACAAACCAAAAAAAATCAGTTGCCAAACAACACCAAATGTGCCAAAGCAATGATGAAACTGTGATGGAGTGGAAGCGAGATGTGGGACTATTCGCCAACAAACCCACAGATGACGTAACAAATCATCCTGCTGACAAAACCACAGCTCATCTGACGGACAGCACGACGCCCCTTCCAGCCAACAGTGCCATGGACAGCACGTCACCCTTTCCAGCCAACAGTGCCATGGACAGCACGTCACCCATTCCCACCAACATTGCCATGGACAGCACGTCACCCCCTCCAGCCAACAGTGCCATGGACAGCACGTCACCCCTTCCAAACAACAGTGCCATGGACAGCACATCACCTCTTCTAGCCAACAGTGCCATGGACAGCACGTCACCCCCTCCAGCCAACAGTGCCATGGACAGCACGTCACCCCCTCCAGCCAACAGTGCCATGGACAGCACGTCACCCATTCCCACCAACATTGCCATGGACAGCACATCACCCATTCCAGCCAACAGTGCCATGGACAGCACATCGCCCCTTCCAGCCAACAGTGCCATGGACAGCACGTCACCCCCTCCAGCCAACAGTGCCATGGATAGCACATCATCCCTTCCAGCCAACAGTGCCGTGGACAGCACGATGCCCCTTGTGGAGAAAATGTAGAGTTCAGTAGCTGTAACAGGTTTAGTAACCAGGCTATGAGGAACAGTAGTTGGTGCAGAGAGGGAAGAAAGCGTCTGTCCTTGGGCTGAAAACTTGGTACAGCAGAAACTGCTGAAAACTATGATGTTATTGTCATTTGCTTGTTATCCAACAGACACGCAAATAATATAACGATTGGAAACAACAACACATATATCTAGATATATGGTTTGAAGGAATGGACTTGGATCATGTGAAAATGGCTTTGTATCCACAGGATCATGTAGAGAAACAGTTCATCTACCGCCACTGTCGGACCATCTTTGGACTGATCGACATCGATGGCAGTAACACCATCACTCCGGACGAGTTCCGGGCTCTCACGTACCTCTTCGACTTCAAGAAAAGAGCCATGAACGAAATCTTCTATGAATTCGACATCTCAGGAGACCAGGTGGCTTAGCTTTCTTCGCAAAAGTGTTGTAACTCCAAAAATTACTGTACACTTGCCATGTTAAGTCCAATAGGGCCAAAGCAAGTAAATTTCATGGATGACATCCTCCGCACAGACTCCAAATCTAAATTGCGATAGGGCGAAAAAAACAAAGCGGTAATTTTCAAATTTTGCCATCATCTGTATCTGTAACTGTAAAAAAATGGGTTTTCAATCATTGTACAAATGTTTTGGTTCAGTGGGAATATCACATATACACAACAAGCATCAAATATAAAAGAAAGGAAATACATCACTGCATCAAAGTAATAGCTATAGACAAAACATTACATCAGAGCCTTGTCTTGTCTCCTCTCCTCATGGCCTCAGACATCTTTGTCCATTGTTGACCACTGTCAGAGGGCAACAAAATTTCTTTTTTCCTTCCCCAAAATCAGGCGAAAATTAATGCGCGTGCTGATGTCATCCATAAACATTACTTGCTGTGGCCTGATCCCTCCTCTTCTGTTATATTACAACATTAGGAGCTGGACTATCGGGAGTTCCGCCTGTTCGCCATGGCCTGTATCGACAAACAACAGGAACTGGAGAAGGAGATGTTACAGAAAGCCGAGGAGATGCGGGAAAAGGCTTTGGAAAAAGAGGAGAAGAAACAAGAACTGAAGGAGAGACTTGAAGAAAAGGGAATCATAGCTTATTGTGTCATTCAATGACAACAATATGTAGTTGGACTGCAACATGTTGGGATGTTTTAGATCTTGTTATCCCATCAAAATTTCTATAGTAATAAAGAGTCTTCTAATGTCCTGTATTTCCTCCACTTTGTCCTGAATTTTTGTATTGCACTTAGCTAGTCCAATGCTAGACGTTAGGCCATGGCCATGTTGATTTGATTATATGGATGACATCCTTTGGAAACCCCAAAACTGATGCGAGCGTGGGAATAAAAAAAAGTTTTGAAAAAAAAGTGCTTTTATTTTGAAATTAAGGTATTCATGGTTAAACAAATTTTTAAATTGGCATGGTGAATAATAGACTCATTTTAATTACTTCACATTTTCTTCTGGTCCTTTGGAATGGATTTTGACATTCTGTGATATAAGTATTGTTTCTCTATATTATTTTTTCAATTTACGGCATGTATTTGCTCCTTTTGGACGGACAGAAGTTCATGCACCTGTGGATGTCATCCATATAATCAAATCAACATGGCCTTTTCTAAATAAGCTTGCATCAAAGAACCATATACATTGTACATTTGTATGATGCTTCAAAGACTATCCTTCCAGACATTGCTACACAATTTTCCTTACCATAAATGGATTTCTTTGCCACAAAAGCAAGACATTTCTGTGTTGTGAATCCTACCTGTCAGATTTATTGTAAATAAACGACAAACACCATATTTTTTCGAGGTTATCCTTTCAGTTGTTTATTGTTCTGTAGAAGTCATGAAGGGTGGTGTGTCACCAACTGAGGTGCCCAGTATTCACTCATGACACTCATGGGAAGAATCCATACCTCAGGCATACAACTCTCTGCGTAACAGTATTGCCATGTCGTATAAAAATAAATGTGCACAGGATAAAATCTCACCCAACTTTCAGATGCCAAAACACAATACATATATAGTGTTATACATATTGTTCTAAACACTTTCCTTACCAAGTTGACAGAAATTTTGCAGCATCACATTTTCAAGATGCAATTGTTCTAACAAGTTGTTATCTAGGCTCTGATTGGTTCAGCAACAACCTCCTTTCAGTTATTTTAAATATATGACCAATTAGAAGTTGGAATCTTGTCATCATGGTAAGAGACTTTCCTTACACCATGTATGGTTAACACTGTAGAATAGATTCACCCTATTAAAAGCTGTGTACAAAATGGCACATAGAATCTCATGTTTAAATGATTCACATATGATAATAGTACAAAGCTTCCATATAAGAACATGTACCGAAGGAATATTCCATTCAAAATACACATGGGGTGGTCCGGATAATTGTCCATTCAACATGAAAGGGCTATACGGACCACCCCTTGTAAGATTTTCAAATGGAATAGTCTTAAGAGCGTGGCAGTGGCTGGTTTGGGTAGACTTTGCATCAGTGCAGGAATTCTACAAAAATTCTGACAAATGCATGTCTGATCTTGAGCACCTAGATCACAGTACAAGAAATGGTAGATCCCAATCATACCATACTGCATTACATTTTTTTAGTTTTACATCTTTTTTCCCAGTACACTTCAACTGAAGTTCCAAGTGCAGTGCTTTCATTTGGATGCAAGATCCAGCACTACACTGTTACACCATTGGAAGAGAAATACCGTAGTCATTGAGTGCTGAAGCTGGTTACAGTTCTTTCTTTAACCATATACCACTTAATCACAAAGGTAAAAACACATGGCTTCAAACTCATTGGGGAGATTAGAACCACCGCAGCTCTTTGCAACACATACCCAAATCTGTTTAAAAGCTGAGGAAGGAACTTAGGAATATAAATGTACCAGTTATGAAAAACATAATATTCCTTTTGCCATCAAAATTCCATAAGCACCGTCATAAATTGCAATGCCTTGCATGTACATTTGTAACACTTCCTTTCACATGTATAAACACAGATTTTTAATTTTGAGATATTTCAAAATCTTTTTGGCTCATAACTGTTGGGCGATAACACTTTAAAATCCATATGAAATACTTGCATTGTGATAAAATCCATCCAGTACAAATATAGCATGACAACAACAGCAAAAAGTGATGTATGACATACTTTAACAATATCAATCTATAACTCTTTCATTAGGAAAATACACTGAGATACATACTTTTGAACACAAACTTTTGATAACTATCATTTGGATGTTGCTATCCTTTGCAAACTTGAATACAAACATTTTGTTGACCAGCAAAGTCATTATCATTTTGGTTCAGGATGCAAAGTTTTCTACTCCAGTGATAGCAAAAACATCCAACCATGTCACTCAGTTGCAAAAGAATATTACATTTTATTACAATCACTGGTAGCTTGGCTACTAGTAATTTGCCCTCATTACCTAAAAACTAGTAATCTTCAATTGTAAATCGTAATTTCTTGATGGCACATGTGCTGCAATCGGGGTAGATACAATAATCATGTAATTTACATGGGCACTATTAGACTAAACATTCAAGTGCTAAGAAATGTTTATAGTGATCCATAGACCTGCAGTTCACATACAAGAAGGAAGGGAGCGCTGCTGCATAAAGAACAGCACTCTTGTCATTTATCTAATAGCTTCTTGTTAAAAGCAGGCTGTGTAACTCCAAAGATCCTGAAGGCTGGTCAACAAACTGTACTGATATGTACTGATCAGTACAAACCATTGTCTTGGGTATTCAGGGCAAAAAATAAACAACTCTTAGAGGAAAAGGCTTTCTTTTTGGCCCTGAACACGAATGCCTAGACTTATGCATTTTCACCATACTCCACATCTGTGGCCACTTTTTCAGACATCCAACTTGGCACAAACTCATGCGACATTCCAACAACTGGACCAGCCTCTAGTATCTTCTGAGTAACGCATCTTAATTCTTACACTGAACTCTAAAAATTCTGGACACAGAATGTGCACCTTGTCACACTTTGAAGAGGATAGTGTCACCGAATGAAGTTCCCAGAAATGTGACAATAGTCACATCTTGTCCTTGCATAGCAACATGAATACAAATTAACGGTATGTTTCTACAAAGTCCTGAGAAGTCTTGGTTAGAAGGATAGGAAAAATGTGGGCATCATGTGTCCATGTCTATAGAAAGCATGTCTCAAGGGGGAATTACGTGATTTTCTCAAGTTTCCATAATATTACATTTTTTCTAGAATTATAAGCCTCAGGGGACTTTGTTTTTTTTATTGCACATCTCTATTGTCATGACACTTCTCCATATTGGCTTTATCCTAACTGATAAATTTGACCTTGAGTTAGTAGCCATTTTGGTCCAATGGAAGCAGCCATATTGGAAACTAACTTCAAGGTAAAAGGTTACTGGCATTTAATTCTATTTCGCAATGAATTGTTTGTTTGTTCGTTCAGATGCTTTTTCAGACAGACTGGCTGATTAAGCTTTAAAGTTCATATTATAGAATAAAGCCTTTCACTGAACAACAGTCAAAATCTCATTTAAACCAATGGTCTTGTATTCCATTAAGTTCTGCAAAATAAAATTTCATAATGATATTATCACTACATATCCTACACATATCGGAAACTTTTGTGTCCTTTGTTGTCATAACTTTGTCAGGAAGCATAAAAAATAAGTTCTAACACAGGAGCCGTTCACATTTGCTGAACCACAGCCTTATTGGGGTTGCCTGACTTTGGTTGACAGAGCCCAGGAATGTATGTAATTGAAAGGTATTGCATATCTCCCCTGCATTAAATTATTTCCCTTTTATGAGTGTGATACTAACAGATACACACTAGAAAATTTTTTCATCAGTTTTTGTAAGTCTACTGTCATGAAATCTTTCCTGAAAACCCGAGAACCAAAGCCTAGCAAGCTTCTGGTACCAGGCTGTTGACTTCTGTCTTCATTGGCCCCTTGGAAGTATAATCTCAAGCTCTGGGAGCTTCACATGATTGCTGTGTTCTCACATCATACATACGATAACCATCATTTGCACTGGTGTATTAAAATTTAAAAAATCACATCTAAAATACCCCCAACTGTTGAAAAAATGGTTGGAGGTCTCATCAGGTCTTCCTGTCGCATGATTGGTCAGGTGGTGATGATGATGATGGCTCTGCTGCCTCCCCCTGGGAGTCCTGGCTTCTGTTCCGTGTTTGTGACTGTTTCCGTCTCTGAGCCAGGGCGGACTCCCCTGCGAGAAAAAAAAATTCAATCTTTAATACAAAATCAAAACTCGCTAAAAATCTGGACAGTAAAAGTCTTACAGAATTTAAGTACTGTTTTCAAGACCTAGCTTTGGACAAACACTGCAAAACTAGTTAAAAACACAGTACGTTAGCAGAAAGTGGCAGAAAATCCCGACCTTTTGTGCTTTTTGTTGGAAGTTTGATCAACGTCGCATCAGAATTATGTCTGTTTCAGACGATATCTTTTCCGACTTAACATTTAAAAACTACAGACGGGATGTAAACCTTATAAATGCGAATACGATCTTATATTAGACATTCTGCCAAAGTGCTATGCACAATACATTAAGGGTTTCGCGCAGGTGCAGTACGTTCTGCCGACGTTCTTTCTAACACTAATGTGAAACCTGGAGGAGGGAGATCCCATGTCCTTACCGGGGGGTGACAGCCTGCAGACGACAGTGCCTGTGCTGGTGCCCGGTGACACCTCCTCCGCTGTCTCCTGGTGGAATGAGAGTGACATCATGCGGTTGAAGGCCACTGCCTCGGCAGCAAACTGTGTCAGGTCACGAGCACTGGAGTTCCTAGGGGGCGAAATCAAGTAACATCAAATGCCTGGTCAACTTCAGAAGACACTATTAGCAAAGAAAATATTATCAAAGTTACTGTTCTTGCTGTCATATCTTTTATGATTTCTTGTTCTTTTATTGAGATTACCCTGATTGCAGAGATATCTTACCTTCAGGCTCCTCAGATTTTCTTTTTCACAAGTAAAAGTTACCAGTGCTACAATATGTAAACATAGCCTTTGTAAAACTCGAGAAAACATTACGACATGGTATTGTACCTCTTCAGGAGTACAGGAGTGGGCAGTGGAAGCTTGGGTGCGTCTCCTACGACCCATGGATGGTTGAGCACCTGTGAGGCGCTGTAGCGAGACTTGGCTTCCTTCACCAGCAGGTGAGAGATGAGGTCCTTAGCCTGGTCAGAGATGTGGTTCCACTCCGGGTCAGGAAACTCGTAGTGACCCTGTCCTATCCGCTCAAACAACATGTTCTGTTGGGCACAGAGGGGGAGGGGGGTGTAAGTACAACTGCTACAATACAATTATACCAAAGTTTCAAATACACATGCTTGTGCTTAGGTTTAATTAATCATCAAAGCTGGGGAACTAGAAAATAAAGTTAACTTTAGAGTAAAAAACCTCAGCTCACACAGAAACCAAATGACTTATGACTAGTGTATAGCTGGCAAACGTTGAAACTCACAATTAAGTTTCCAAATACATAGTGCCTATGAATGTTAACATACAACAGAAAAAGAGGTGACTAAGCCACATAGTTACCTGACAAGCCATACAGGCCTCTCCCCTCTCCCAGCCACAGTCACTGCCACACTGGCCATAGAACGGAGGTCTCCCACTCAACATGATGTATCTGTATCCAACAAAATATAACATTAAATCAATGCTGATTATACCTGAAAATGTCGTAAAGAAGACTCAATTTGTACTTTTGTTTATACATCCCATGTCTCCAGGATAAGATATTGTGGTTTTGAAAAACAAGGTAAAATATGCTTACACAATGACGCCAAGGCTCCACATGTCACAGCGCTTGTCGTACACAGAAGCTGCGTCGTTGTTGAATGTTTCCACCACTTCAGGTGCCATGTATTCCGCTGAGCCCACCTGTGAACAAGAGAAGTGTATCATACAGTAGGTTAGAGCTATACAGAAACTTGAATACATCTAAAGCTACAAAAGATTAATCAATCTAAGTAACAACACTAACAATTGAAATCATGTTCTTTTTGACATTGAACCCTACTTTAGGAACATGTCAGTTAGAATACTGTGAATCGCATTTTTTTTGTGGTACTTTTAAATTCGCATTTTTTACGGCCACTTCTGTACCGCACTTCTGTAATTATAATTACAGCAAACAAATAATTTACCGACTTTCTTTCTTCTTCACCTGCCACCACTGTTCTGCGAACATGTCCATTTTTCTCAGACCGTGAAATTTTGCTATTTTGAAACGGATTTACTGTTACTGTATTAGCTTGGAGATTAAGACTCCACTGTTGATACACTGTTGTTATATAAGACGTACCGGTGTGTACAGGTCAGGGGTAGTGACTGGGGTATCACTGTAGGAGATGCCACTGCCGAGGTCAAAGTCACAGATCTTGACAGGCGAGACTTCCTCTTCCAGCACACATAAGATGTTCTCTGGCTTCAGGTCACGATGGGCAATGCCTGGTGATGAGGAAGGAAAAGAGATTAAAAAACGATATCTTTCATCCATACCATCGTATGGAGTGAAATATTAAAAAAATGAAAACTGCCCAGTGTTTCATTAAAAAAATGAAAAGACTACCAAACAAAAAAATAGAGAATGTTTTATATTCTGTAGATGTTGGATGCTGGCCTTACCTTTAGAATGGAGGTAGTTTAGGGCACTGGCAATGTCCCTGGTGACGTATGCTGCTTCCCGTTCGTCAAAGTGCTGTTTTCTCTGGATATGGTCCAGCAGTTGTCCTGGAAAATTCCATCAAGAATGACACTTTTAGTAGGCGGCAACATACATTTATAGTGCTTGCTTACATTGAGTATTATTATACTACTCTTGCTTAGTTGTATTATATTTGACATGTACATTTGCAATGTCTCTCATGAAAAAAGGTTTCTTACACTTCATGTTTTCCTAACGTTTGCCAACAGGACAGACTCAAACAAAACCAAGTAATTTAGGAGTGTAGTAATTTAGAAGTGTAGTAATATAGAAGTGTAGTGATTTAGTAGTGTATCTACTAGACTTTACCTCCTCTCAGCTTCTCAAACACTAGGATGAATCTTTCCTCCTCCTCAAAGAACTCAATCAGCTCAATGATGTTCCTAAGACAAGAAGAAATGTCAGAAATCAATCAAGTTAAAAATAAAAAAAAAAGATTAAAAAAAAAAAAGATTTCAATTCATCTATACTTCTCTCAAACCTAGCTAAGGCCACACCAATTTAATTTGTTGGTTCTCGGATTCGCCTCTTCGTTTTTTTCTGATTTACAAAAAAAAAAATTTTGATTCTGGTCCTGAATCAACTGAAAAATGCTTATGTTTTGCCCCGAACAGTTGAGGAAAGTCCTTTTCTTCCTAGTTGTTACAGTTTTCCCATCTATCATTGCAGTGGTATGATTAAAAGTTCAAAATTCAAAAAAGTTTAAATTTTAACCCAGCCTTTTGTGTTGACTTCATGGCTCATTTCATAGCATTTAAGCCTATAATAGGATGCCAAGACCTGTTTTTATTTTTATTTTTTTTCGCCCTGTCGCTTCATATTTTTTCTGAAAAAATCCGAGAACCAACAAATTAAATTGGTGTGGCCTAAACATGAGGAAAAAACTGTTTGGCAGAGGTAAAAGTGAACACTATTATTTAGTCTGAATCATAGGCATGGAATGTGGAGCTGTGCTTACTTGTGTCCCTGGCACTGGTACAGGGTTTCCACCTCCTTAAAGACCCTTGATCTTGTGTAGCCTGGTCTTTTCTCTATGATCTGTGCAAACAAAGGGAAGACTTTCAATTTGTAAAGCAACCTATACCTCATCTAGGAAGTTCATCTGTGTTGGTAGAAATCATTGTGAAGCATGTAAAAACTGCAATTTCCAACATGAGCAGTAAGCCCAATTTCTTGTATTGGAAATTACAATTTAGACCAATATTATCCTCAACTTCTATAGTTGCAGCTTCAAATTCAACTATTCTATTATAACAAAGTCTAGAATCATGCAGACGAGTCGCAAGAACAACACAAAAGGTCTTTCAGCTAAAGCTGTATCAAAACATACAATTATCAAATGTCAGTGCAACAGTGCCTAATTCTACATGTACATGTAAGTATGATATTCAGTGCAAAACTGCTACTCAGTGGCCAACAGAATTTGACACAAATCACCCATATTTTGAGTGAAATTTATCGTCTAATTGACTGACAGACTAGCAGAGATAAAGAGACATCTTACATAACAAACCCTGAGCTATATATGACAGGGACAAATGTTCAGGGTCAGACGTTGCAGACACATGGCTGTGGAACCATGTACAGAATGGGAAGCATGTATACATCAATGGAAATGTACCAGACAACCAGTATGCTGGGACACTCTACCCTAAAATTAGACCATGATTGCCCAACTATTACACAGGCCTTGCATAACTCGAACTGTCTATCTAGGCGCTTTACAGAGATCAGCAAGTGATATGGATGTTACATAATGCATATGTGTGTGCATACATTACTATATATAGAATCTGTATCTGTATACCCTTTGGCGTAACACACCATCTAAATATATTGTAATACATTGTAACAGCAGAGTTTATCTCTAGTGAATCTAGATGTATCAAGAGACTTGGTTCCTTTTCTATGATTCCTGTTGTTCATTTATTAAGCTGACATTTTCACTGCCTAAAGAGACAACAGTACAACGACCCCTAGAATGAAACATTTGAAATGGCAGAGTTAAGACCAACTTTAAAGTAAATATACCTTAGCAGCGAACTCTTTCCCAGTCAGGAGGTGGAGGCAGGTTTGGACACGGGCGTGGGCACCATCTCCCAAGATGTCGTCCTTCAGATGGTACATATCTGTGGTGGGGTGGGGAGGAGGCAAGAAAGGTCAGCATCATAATGATAATACCTTGAGAATCCAATGGTGTAAAAGGCATTTCTGCCTGTGGTGTACACCCTCCTCTCATTCTATATGTATTCTCCCGCTCCAGTGCTTATCCAGCCTTGACTTGAAGCTGTTGACGCTCTCGGCGTAGGGAATTCCATAACTGCACTGCTCTTATGGCAAAGGAGTGCCTCCTTACTGCGGCCTTTGCCAGTGGGACCTTCAACTTATACGAGTGCCCTCGTGTTTTCTCCACCTGACTTGTTTCATGTCTGTACTTAGAAATTGTTTATAATGTTCTGTACTTAGAAATTGTTTAACGCAGATACAGATACAGAGTCTGACATAATGTTCCATACTAAGAACTTAAACTTGTTCAAATTTATTGTCTTTGCTCAATTGAACTTTCTAAACCCTTTGATATCATGTTGCACAGTAAGATTCTATTCTTACCTTTGAATCTGCCACTGAAGCTGTCGGATGCCCTTGTGCGTTTCTTCTTGTTTCTTCTTTGGCGCTTGGCTGTAGAGGTGTCCTTCCCTTGGATCATCATGGGCTGGGTGGCAGTAGTTTCTGTTGGAATACAGGAGACACTTTCTAGTTAGCAACTACAAGAGACAGAGGTACAACAACTCCTAGTATGAAAGATACAAGTTAAGGTATTCTAGTAGCAGCCAGCACCAGTTTTTACTGTCAATTACTGGAACTTTGCGGCGGGTAAAGGAATTTTTTTTCCAATCCGTCAACCTTGACAGACAAAATCAACAAAAATCTTGGGTAAAAATATGAAGGACCACCGACAACCACCCTCAACACCATGCATAAAATGCCTCTCATAATGCAGAAAAACGTTTTTTAAGGCTTGGAAATCCAAAAGTTCAATCCGAAAATCCCCAAATCCGATGATGATTCAACATGGGCTGATGGAAAAGAGCCCTGGTTCTAAGTAGAATAACATCAAACAATACAACAAAATACAGACTCATTTTAAGAAATAGAGGCATGGAGCATCTTTCCAGCAAATTATGCTCTGACTTTTAATTCTCTTAACCCTCTCGTAACCCTAACAGAGTCATGCTTCTAGCTTCTAGCTAATCCAACAACAACCCTTTGGCCTGAATACCAAACTGTTTTCTGGGAAGGCTGAAATATTTGCCACCATGCCTGACCAAGTGTCAAAATGTTCATCCTTGGCTCATAGTTGATTAGACATGTAGTGTTAGAATCACAGTGACTCATAGTTCTCACCAGGCTGTTTGAGTGTAGGGGCCCCCTACGCTGTGATTTGGACCCCCTTTGCTGTGATTTAGCCCCCTACACTGTGTTTCAACCAGCGTGGGGGTGTATTTTGGGGGCAGAAGCTTCATCAATCTTTCAAAAATGAAAATATAACAGTTACTTTAGAATGAGGCTATAGCAAAGGGAAAACAAAAACTGTCCCTCAATAAGCAAGAAACAGTGTCTCAGGGGGTTATGTGTTACAAAATTTTGTGGGGAGAATACCTGACCCCCTGCTGTGGTCATATTTTTGGGACTTAAAATTATGCGCGACTTGCGCTGCAGAACGTTGCCCTTCTGGTCCCGACCCCTACCGTACGCTGTGGAAATATCCTGGTGGGAACCCTGGTGACTGCCTATAGTGACCTTATGAATATTTTACAAAAGACTGGTCGAAAGCTCTAGCTGAGAGAACTTTATAGTGCTGGAACTTAAGTTTTAACTTTAAATATGTAACTACAAACACACATGAACTTTCGTGGTATTTTACAAAGAACTTTTGGTCGTTACTTAAGAGACTTTTTTTTACATAAATCATTACATATATTTTATGTATCTTGTAGTTTGTACCCAGTTTTTTTGTGTGTGTTGTATTCTTCCATCATCCATGTTTTGATATAGAGTTACAAGGAGCCACTCTCCAATGTTGTGTGCGCCACACGGTGGCAAGATGCCAAAAACCCTCAGGCCTGCGAAGGTCCTGCATGAAGACATCTAAAGGTCAAATCTAATCTGAGGCCATCTCGGTGAAACGTGAGTGGGGACACATACACAGTGCCAACAACAAACACACAAAGGTTAGCCCAGGGTAACTGGCGTAGCCTTATGTCTTTCAAACTGACTTTGTCCTCCATGTTCCTTCTAGAGGCATTTCGTCGAAAACTTGACAAAACCTCCAAAATTTGCAGCATTTATTTGCTTGCAAATATCAGAGTTTTCAATCAAAAATTGAGGTGTTAAAAAAATAGTACATGTATTTTCCAAGAACTAGCGTAGAGTGGAACTTGTTGCCAACAAGCACAGTTGGAGCATTATCACTAGAAAGCTTTAAACAACTCCTGCAATTAAATGTGCAAAGATTGAGTGTAACAAGTCGTTCGGTGTGATATAGCTAGCTGTCGCCGCGCCGTGTACCTGCGAAGCTGGTGTGTTACGCCAAAGGTTGGTTATACCAGCTATACCGATACAGATACATACCGATACAGATACAGATGTGAACTGCTTATAAGGATTTTGATTTGGGACATTCTAGTAGTCAACACAAAGGGCATGACAAAACCTTCTTGAAGTCTACCCAAAGAGTATTAACTTTAACATTTTAGAAAATGCCAAGGCTGACTCTATTTAATTTGAATGGATCATTACACTAACAAACACATGTCCCAACATGTGAGTCACGTAGTCGCTACACTCCTGACGTCTGTACCGTGTTCCTGAGTAAACGTAGACTTTAGATCTATACGTGTTTTATACAAGTACTTATCAAACATCCGTCAGTCACAGGGCTTAACAACGTGATTACTTATTAACGGCCGCGTATGTGTCACATGGCTCGACAATGTGACAACTCAAGGATGGGAATATACCTCCTGTAGGGCTTCCTCTGTACCTGCTCTGTGCAAACTTCTAGGAATAAAATTAGATACTATATGGGCTATAGTGTTTGCTTTGGATCAAAAATAATGTACGTCATTTTGTTTTCACGTGTAACTTCAATGTGCTTTCAGTAACATGTGTCTAGAACAAGAAATGTGACAACTCAAGGATGGGAATATACCTCCTGGAGGGCTTCCTCACTACCGGTTCAACCGTGCAAACTTCTAGGAATAAAATTAGATATATTTCACGTGTAATTTCAATGTGCTTTCAGTAACACGTGTTTGGGCCTTACAGGCCGCCATGTGAAGTCCAACGGAACAAGAAATGTGACAACTCAAGGATGGGAATATACCTCCTGTAGGACTTCATCAGCACCTGCTTTATGCAAACTTCGAAGAATAAAATTAGATACTATATGGGCTGTAGTGTTTGCTTTGGATCAAAAATAATGTACGGCATTTTGTTTTCACGTGTAATTTCAATGTGCTTTCATTGACACGTGTTTTGGCAAACTTTAGGAACAAAATTAGACACTATATGGGCCATGGCCATGAAATGCAATGTGCTTTCAGTAACACGTGTTTAGGGAAACTTCTAGGGACAAAATTAGACACTATATGGGCCATGGTGTTTGCATTGGATCAAATATAATGTATGGTATTTTGTTATTTTCATGCGTAACTTCAATGTGCTTTCAGCAACACGTGTCTGGGCTTTACGGGCCGCGTGATACAGCAGCAGCTTCCAAATTCAAATGTTCGTGTCAATCATTTCTTAGAAATTACTACATGCAACAGTTCATGTCAGTCATTATTAGAAATTGCTGGCACAGACTGGAAAGTTACTTCATGTTTAGGGGAGAAGGTCAGGGTTCTCTAGCTCACCAGGATTTTTTCACAGCATAGGAGTCAGTTACAGAAAGGCAGCGAACCTTCATGGCGTAAGTCACGCATTGAGCCGAAAAATCTTGAAACTCATAACCCCCTGAGACACTATTTCTCATTTATTGAGGGACATATTTTGTAAAGTTAAGGTTTTATCATAATGTCATAACTTCATTCTAAAGTTATACTTTCATTTTTTGCAAGATTTATGAAGGTTCTCCCCCAAAAACACCCCTATGCTGGTTGAAAGACAGCATAGGGGTCCAAATCACAGCACACTGGGGACCCCTATGCTCAAAAGGCCTGGCGAGAATACTGAAGGTGAATGCTGTCTGTATTGATATCTGCGCATGAACTGGCCCCGTCCCAAGTGATAAACAGGACACCAGTGCAAGAAGCTCCATTCCACAAATTCTGGCCCGAGGCCAGAGCATGTATTGACGCTGTCTCATTATAATTCTATGAATTTGCTATTATAAAACAAGTGACTCATGTTTGAAAGATCAAAACAAAAACCACACCCTTCAACTACCATAACCTACATTGATTTACCTACTACAAGGTGATCTTCTGATACTTGATTTTGTAGCATGTTATGGCCACAGCAAGTAATTTTTATGGATGACATCAGCATGAGCATGAACTTTTGCCCGATGTTGGAAAACAAAAGAAATAATTGCCCTCTGACAGTGGTCAACATGCCGAAAATGGGCAACGATGTCTGTTGCCATGCAGAAATGTGGATGGCTGATAAATATGAAGAGAGGAGACCAGCAAGTTTATGATGTCAAAATTTGAAAATGTAGGAATATTAATATTTTTTTGGCCCAAATTTTTTTATTTTTCGCCTTACCGCATTAAATTTGGAGTCTGAAGAGGATGTCATCCATAAAATTTACTTGCTGTGGCCTAAGCCAAAGTCATCCATAATCAGTACTACAAGGATAACTGGAGGTAACAGTACCTTTCCTGAGATTGTGGCCCGTGTCCAGCGTTGTTGGTCTTGCTGGTCTCTTCTCATCGATACACTCCGGCATTGCTGAGGATGTGTTCAGCTACAGGGACACCAGAAAGTCACAATTATTAATTACAGTTTCAACAACACCATCATGAAACCATATGTTGCAAGATGATGACAATATTGTTGCAGTGTTTGGGTTTTATTTAGTAAGGGTTGTACATGGGGAGTTATACAAAATTTTCTTTTGTTTTTGAGTGTACATGACAATCTTTTGTCACAATATCATAACTGTATATCTACCAACTTCTTGTTCCTTTTGACTTCAATCATGCCAAACAATTTTCCTGGTATTACGTGATATCAAATACTATACTAGTTTCCCTTTTCCTTGTTTTTATGGCAAATAAGATAAACTTTGGCAAAATAAATATCTCCCCTGTAGCCTAATGGCTTGCCTGGCGGAAGTAATTGCTATAACCTATGCAACGATTCAGTCAAATTGACTGTGTAATTACTGAAACTACGTCAATGTGAGGGGGTTTACCAGTGATATGGAGAGGAAAAATAACATTTATCTTCCTTGGTTCAGGTTTGCCTATTGGTACAACTGAGTCTATACTTCAAAGTATCAACAAATTTATTCCATCTCACTTACATGTTGTCTTATCATTTCTAAATTTAAGAGGAATACTTGAAGATTTGAAAAGAACAGTCATTTACAATCATAAATCACGTTAATGGTTGTTCAGTGGGCGGTGGCCTACGTGCTAGAGTTCGACTAAGGCAAGACAGTAGGTAAACATTGCCTGACCCAGCCCTGTAGGATTTATATACGTCCTTCATAACCGTAAGGTCGGACGTCAGATGTTAGCCATTAAAACTGGACTTTGCATCAGGGCACTAGACAGCTCGAAATCATTTTCCGTCAGCCCAGGTTCATGATCGGACCTGGTGGGATAGTGCTCACAACCTGCTCACAACCTAGAGGAGTCCAGGGACAAATTTTGGGGTTTCAAGCCTTTAAAAACTCATGATCAATTTCCCACATTTTGAGAGGCAAATCATGGGGTTGAGAGCATTTGTTGTTGGTCTTTCTGATGTTTTTATATTTTTTACCCAAGATTTTTACCAATATTTTCCATCAAGCTTCAAAGTTGACAGATTGGTTTTAAAAATTGTCCGTCACACACCACAAAATATCTGCAATTGAGGGGAAAACTGGAGCTAGCTAGAGCCCTCCTTTGCATACTGACTTTGAATTCTTAACTGAAAGATTCAAACTCAAGTCAGGCAATGAAGCTTGTGAAGTTGGTGATACCATTACTACATCAACGTCTTTTTAACTACACCCCCTTTTCTTCTGCAAAGTCTAAATCAAAGGGCAAAATGTGTCTTTAATGTGATGCAATACTTCTGAAGATTTCACCTACATACAAACAGGAACAAGACTTCCTAATGGAAAGTTTGTCAGTAAGTCAATATGTAATGCCAGTGTTAGTACCGGACTCAGCTTCCTAATTTCGGACATGATGTAACAGTGCCTTGTAACGTCACGTCCTGATGGGGGTGACACTACTACATGGCTGATGTAAGACTCACCCAACATGACCAGAAACAGGGCCATAACCTTGACTATATATACTTGGTACAAACTACATGTACTTGAAATAGTTCCAAAAAGAATGCCTCCACACACTGTCTATCTAAATTGCAAGGCCTTCATGATTTTGGGACTTTGACCGTACAGGAGACAGAAAACTAGTCAGAGGTCTCCCCAGAAATTTTTACTTAGGGCAGAGGTGCTCCCAAAACAGTTGATGAAAAATCAGCAACTTTTCATGAAAATGAAAACCCTAAATTTGAACATTTTGGGAGAGGTGCTAGGATTCTGGGGAGAGGGGGAGCACCCTTGCTTCATTGCTTGGGGAGAGCCCTGTTAGTACACATTTTTACAGACATTACAATATATAATTGTATTGAACTATCTAAGAACATGAGTAGAAAATAATACCTTAAAATTTTCATGGAAGGTTTTCAGCTCAGCAAGCTTGGAGGTGATCCCTGAGACCTGTAAAGGAAGCAAAACCGTGGTCAAAACTTGGTCCTCATGTAGTTTAAGGCTTGTTTCTAGAAGCCTAGCTGATATGTAAATGCAGAGGAAGTGTTTCAGTTGGGATATACCAGTCCAATGACTCATTGGGAAAACTCTTGTAGGCTTCATGCATATACTAGTACATGGTATTACATGACTCTGGGCCAGTACCTAAAGGAGAAAAAAACCTAGGGAAATCCCCAAACAAAGATTGGCAACCAGTTTGAACACTTCCTGTTTGAATTCTAGGAGTATCTGCCTAAATAATCTACAAAATTATTTATAAAACTGCACATTTCTGCTTTCTCACTACCCCGGTAAGTCTTGTACTCTTTTTCACTCTCACACTATGGAACTTATTATACAAGGACATCTATGAATATGCAATAGTTGACAGACAAGCAAGAAAAAAACTTGGAAAGTTTGCATAAACTTACATACAATCCTATGAAAAAAGGAACAAGCAACTGGAACAAACTAGAAGAAACTAACTTACCCCTCCAAGTTCGACTTGTCCACACGGAAACTCAAAAGCCAACATCGCGTTGGTCAGTATTACACGTTTCCAAACGTTGTCAATCAAACTTTGACTGTTGCAAGGAGCAACCTTAAATTGCTGTCCAAACAGCAACTCCAAAAGTTGGTGACTGTGAGCCTTTAACTAAAAAGGCTGCCACCAAAACTAGAAGTTACCCAAACACACTGTCCAAATGTGGCTGACCACTACCACTGACCACTACCACTGGTACTAGCTAGCTAGCTCGGGCGGTGCGCACTTCATAATACCGTACACACATACGTGGCCAAATCACGAGTTGGTCACTGAGTTTATAAATAAACCTGGCACAGCCCACCGTTCTGACGTCATCACTGACCCACACCGATAACGGTTCAACCAATCAAAACAAAGCACACCTATCAGTTACCAATACAGACGGAGGTAAACATTGGAAAATATTTCATATATCACGAGGTTTGTAAATATTCCGGGCAGTTCACATGACGTTTTCGTTAGTACAGGGCACGTAGCAGTACGGGGTTTACGTGGCTACATCTTGGTGTTTTGCTGAGTGTTGTTGCCCCGTGCATATACGTGATAAACAACTCGTAAAGCCCAGGGAAGATTCGCGAATATTCGATGCCGCATGGTTCCTCCATAAGGTACGATCGATCAAGCGCTTGGACAGATCCAGAGCTGCACGAGCCCCGAAACGTGTTCAGCATGTAACTAGAGTGTTTGACTCGTCACAGCTAGCAGCTCAGACTCTGAAACACGACACAGGGTACACTGTACAGCGAGCGGAAAAATATTCATGGCGGCCCAAACATTCCTCGGCGGGGCCTGGCACCGAGAGGACCCCGTCTCCTGCCCCGTAAAAGCACGATGCACCGCCGAAGAGACACTTGTGGCCTTCTTGGGTTCCTTATCTAGCTGTAGCGTATCAAAATGGTCGCGTATACGCCGGGGAGAGCGAGAAAATGGCTCTTTTCTATTGCATACCTGTACGCTGCCGCTGCAAGCTGCCATTTCTTGGGAAGACTTTGATGGAATGGTTTCGTCCAAAGTGGGGACGTTTGGAAATAAACATATTTTGAAAGTAAATATAATGCGACGTATCACCTATTTTACAAATCTTTCATAATTTTTATTGATTATAAGCGACTAATAGTGAGTCTAGATTCTAATAAACAGTGTAATATTTGACACTGATATATAATCAGATTTATATTCACCCCTTGCTGACGCCAAATGAACTATTCGAATCCCGTGACGTCAGATCATAACAACAAAGTCACGTGGTGGTGTGACGCTGCATGTTTTGACAGTGTTTTGACCCATATTTTGGACCCATTTATTTCGGTAAGTTTTTATGTAATCTCATTTACATGCACAGTGCATAATTTTCTGTATATCACTAGCCTCAAAACCTTAGGCCCTAGCATCACAGCATTGAAAACTCATTGTACACCATGTAACGTTATAACGTTATCATGTGACCGTTGCATCACCCTTGTCATCTATACCTCACATGATCCAGGAAATTCCCTATAACTGGCATCGCTATATTAAAAATGCAATTCATGTATCTACGATTCAAGTAAAAGGTATGATACGGTTGGCAAATCGCAATTCTAATGTTAATGATGTAATCTTAGCCTGCTATTGGCAATGTTCAGCTAGAAATATCATATTAAAGGCGTATTGAAAGCTTTATCTCCGTTGATTAGAGAGGTCTGTATTTTAGCTAGACGCTAGCTAGACGACGCCAATCCCTTAATCTTCTGTTAGATTAAAAAGCTGCCCAGTAGCAGAGACTTGTCAAACAAACTTATCAATTGATTTTTTATGGTGTGGGGTCTAAACAGTTGACCAATCAGAAGCCTTGCGTCTGGGGGTGTGTACGTGGGTGTCGGCACAAGGAACAGGATGCGGCTCCTTTCATCTTTTTGACTGACGTGTTTGTGTTCAGATAAGCAGAGTAAACTTTCCCCAGAATGATCCGGTTCGTTCCGGCGGGACCTCGCAGAAAAGGACCTTGACACGTAGGACAAAAGGGGGTGTGTCCGAGGGTGTGCTCCTTCCAAAGTCTTAAGTACGAATTATTAAATACAAACGTTATATAATTGTAGGTCGTGTCCTCCAACACAGTGAGTCTTTGATATATCTTATCACTCTATCTTGAAAGTGGGGTAAAAATCAGCTCCAATTTATTTGACTGCTTGTGAGATAGAACAACCTGAACTTTTCAATGAGTTGAAAGGTTTAAGTTTGGTTCTAGACTGAAAGGAACTTGAATAGCATGACTCAGACAATCAAAGTGTCTAAATTACCTGTATAGCTAATTTACATAGCACATTCATTTGAAACATTGAATTTCATATTTAACTCTTAAAACATTAATCAATCTTTGCTGTAATCAACTTGGTAGGCACCGCTTAGCAGCTTGATTAATTATAAAAATTGGACAGACGTCCTACTCTACTACTACATTGTAGTACTCCACTATGAAGTTCTCTTCTGGCCGGGTAGAGAATGGCTCCGTGTGAGTGGCGTTGCCAAAAAATGTGACCTTTGGGATAAAGTTTTGGGAACGAGAACGCTCTGGGTACGAGAATAGTCAAACACATGACTGTTGCGCAAGGTTGACGCCGTCCTACGTACTGTCCTTCTTCTGGCCGCTTCAGGAGCCAAACGTTAAAATTTTTGCCGCAGTAGGTTGACAGAAAGTACAAGAAAGGTTTAGGTTCTTCGCTGTGTGAAGAGGAGTCGAAGAAACGATGCTGAACAGGGTTTTCAGTGGCCCGAACGCCAGGGTGGCGGCGGCACAACTCTTGCGGAAGAGTAAGAGTACTGCAGCTCCGGCGGCACAAACACGTATCCTTTTCGGAGATTTCCTATGATATTACGCTCTGTTTCTTTACTGCGTTGATTAAACATTGAATAGACCTATACGTGACCAGGATGATGCACTCACAGAAGTTATTTGTGCCCGTTTTCAAAGCCTGTTATAGCTGAAAGTATGGCAAAGGGGGAGGGGGGCACAGCACAGATAAGTTACGAAACAAAATCACCAACATATCATATGATCTTTCTCATCGTCATATTGTGTATAATGTGCTGAGTGCTAAAACTATAGGTATGTCTAAAACTATGTCTGAAGGGTTTGGCTTCTCTTTTGTAAACCATGGAAGACGTAATGTCCCACCTTTTCCTAAATTTGTGGGTTTTGGAAAGTTAAAGTCTCTCAAATTATAACAAGTGAAAGTCTTGGAATCATTATGTTGACTTTATCTCAACAATGGCCAGCTCTATAGATCTAGAATAAAGATACAGATACAGAAATACAGAAAGCACTGAACTTCTTACCTGGTCCACAGCTGGATGTTGATGCCACGGCACCAGTACTGAGTTGTGCTACAAAATATTCCTGTGCTTTTGAACCTTTTCATCTAGAGGCTGCACTGAGGTGTGAATAGGGGCACAAATTTATGCATGGTTTGGCAACACAGAGGCTGAAAAGTTATTCACATGCAAAGTTTCACAACAGAATATGTACTTGGTGCTTTATTGTTAATTAACCTTTTATCATTCATTATCTTACTCAGATTGTAACACATTGTCTTTCCAAATCCCATGTGAGGAAAATGCAAAAATCACTTCACTGTTTGACACCTTCTGTTATTCTAACTTCGTAAAGTTTGTATGTATCACAATACACACATATAACAGCAATACACAAAAACAGAAGACATTGTACAATACTAGTGTCAACTTATGCAGATTTACACCAAAAGTGACAAATGTTTTCTGAGTAAACATTGAGCTTTGTATCCTGACTACACAGTCAGTATTCCTTAATAAGATATTCATTCAGAAGCCAAAGATGTAACAGAAAAGCCCAAAGGTAAGTCTGTTGATCACATGTACATGTTCCTTTTTTCTACCTCCATGGTAAGAATGATGTGATAAAATGATGAAATGTGCAAGTATGCAGTTGATGCCAGTTTCTATCTATTGCCACAACTTCTTACATATGATGTTACCTATAAATCTTAAGAATGTTAGAAGACCATACTAATAATCACACTGTCAATTTGAAAATAAATGTATTACAATTGCATGTGATCTTGGTTCTTTCCACAGATGAATACTAGTATACGAGCAATCCCTGTTGCATATGCATATTTTTGGTAATGCCTAGGAAAAAAATTGTTCACCAAATCAACCAATCGACACCGATGTTTTGCCCACCAGTCACTGGCTGTGACGCCATGGCGATCGCATTTTGTATAATTTGTATGTGTAATTTCATAGTTTTTCATAAATTATGCTGTACTTTCCAGTAAAGTTTGATTGGCTGGATGCTCTGAACCTGGAGAGTCAGCTGACAGAAGAGGAGGTTATGGTGAGGGACCAGTTCCGCAGCTACTGTCAGGAGAAACTCATGCCCAGGATACTCATGGCCAACAGGCACGAGAGTAAGTCTCTGGACCGGCATACTGTGTTCACGCTGTGATTACAATGGAGGTTTTCATGGAACTATGTGTTCAAGGTGGCTACAGATGCAGGAAAAAAGAAATTTGGCAGTTGATTTGTTTAACAGTAATGACAAGTTCACAGTACAGAAGTGACTGTGAAAACCATGAACATACAAGAACCGTGAGAAAGTTATCAAATATAATGTCCTTGTTTATACTATAGCAAGGAGCTATTAGTTATAGTTATAGTTTTTGGTTGAAATCACATTTCTATTACAGTCATGTAAATTATGGTGTTTAGATCATCGTGTTTATATGCAATATTGTTTTTTCCCCTCAGACTTTGACAGAGAGATAATGTCAGAGATGGGACAGCTGGGAGTACTGGGTCCTACCATCAAGGGTAAGCTGTGATCTGTAGTACTAGTATGTAATTCATGTTTGGGATATTATATTCAGACATGTATTAGTGGGTAGGTGTGATGATAAAGAATACTAGCACATTTTATTTAGAAACATAAGTCTGGAATTTTCCAGATCTTTATTACCCATCTAAAAGCATACCCCTGGTATTGTACTCCATTTCCAGGTTATGGCTGTGCAGGAGTGTCGTCTGTAGCCTATGGGTTGATAGCCAGAGAAGTGGAAAGGTACTCTAGTGTAGATTGTTGCTCCACTAATACTAGTACCACTAATACTGTATCAATATGGTGAGCTAAGATACTAGTAGATGTCTACTTTGGCAACTTTGACTTTGCCAGAAATCATGTGCATACCCAGCGTTGCTTGAACATAGTCTGAATTCCTTTGTGCTCAAAAAAGGCATCTTGTTAGACTTTAGAGCTCCACTTTCACTGCATGTCACAGCCTAGAAAAGTTACACCTTGAACAAAATATCATACAAGGAAACTCTAACTCCAACACATTTCTAACTATGTGTTTTCCCTGTGTGTTCCTGTAGAGTTGACAGTGCGTACAGGTCAGCCTTCAGTGTGCAGTCCTCCCTCGTCATGCATCCCATCAATGCCTACGGCTCCGAGGTACAGAAGCGCAAGTACCTCCCTAAACTTGGTAAGTCAGAACCTTACTGGCAGAAAAGTTTTGCATGAAGAGATGTATGTGATGAAGAATGTAGGAAGAGATATGTGTTGTTCTTGTCTCTTGTACTTCTACCTTTCAGTAGGTAGAAGTTTAGCAATACATGTACATAGAACTGTGGAAGTAAATGCAGTGTAGGTTGAAGAGTGCAAGGTTTGGATCACACTACAACGTATCACATCATTTGTTACAAGTTCAACATGCTAAGTTTATACTCCTTCAGCAACGGGAGAGCTGGTTGGTTGCTTTGGTCTGACGGAGCCCAATCACGGCAGCGATCCTGGTGGGATGGAGACACGGGCCAAATGGGACGAGAACAAAAAGTGCTACATCCTGAATGGGGCAAAGTCATGGTCAGTACAATGTTGTTTTTTTTTCAAATCCCACTTTTAGTATAGTAAAGGACCAGCAAATCACACACAGTGCAACTGATGTATCTGGCATGTTAGACTTGACAAACAGTGCAAGTATTGTAAGCATATTTAGTTAACATGTATGTCAGATAAGTTGAGATAACCCAAATAGTATTTGAAGAAATAGTGATATTCTTTAAGAACAGACGACAAGTTTAAACGGGAACTGTTTAGGCCTAGTAGGGAAAAAATTTCCTGTTTCCCGACCGACCCTAGGAAAAAACTGCTGACCATATAGCCTTTTTTTTTATCCCTGCAAGGGACATACATTTTTCGAGCTGATCAACCTTTTCTAGCTTCATAATCTGACACCTGAGTGACGAACGTTGCACAATCAGTTTTCCAACATTGGCATGAAAATAAAAGTAATCTCTACTTACCAACCCTAATTTTTACAGGATTGAAACAGGAAACACAACATTTTTTCCCTCAGACTTAGAAACAAATGACAAGTTGAAACTGGAACAGTTTACATGTTGAATTTATGTTCTCATACATGTACTTTTCACCAACCACACAGGATCACCAACTCTCCTGTAGCTGATGTGTTTATAGTGTGGGGGAAGTGTGAGGATGGCCGTGTGCGTGGGTTTATCCTGGAGAAGGGCATGGGCGGGCTGTCTGCGCCCAAGATCGAGGGGAAGTTCTCCCTACGCGCCTCCATCACAGGACAGATAGTCATGGAGGATGTGGAGGTCCCACAGGACAACTTGCTGCCTGGTGTTCATGGCTTGGCGGTAAGTGGGGATGTTTGTTTGTTTGTTTCGTGTAACTGGTAACTGCCTTTAGGCGTAACACACCAGTTTTGTACATATAAGTACAAGCTGCGTAAGACTGGACTGTAACTTGTAAGGTTTGAACCACTCAGACCAGGAAGGACCCTTCTTGTTGATAAATGCGATGGGTGTGGCTCTCCCCAAACAAGGGCCTCCATTTAACGAGCAGATAAGAGAATTTGCCAATTATTCTGTTCTCATAATGGATATATTGAGTCAAGGAACCCAAAATAGAGGATTGAAGTTCAGGTTATCTTTAGCCGATACCTTGAAGCCCTGTTGTTTATGTTCTGAGATAATGACATGTTGTTGTTGTTTATTGTTGTGTTGACAGGGTCCCTTTGGTTGTCTGAACAATGCCAGATTTGGTATTGCCTGGGGAACTCTGGGAGCAGCTGAGTTCTGCCTGGAGACAGCCAGACAGTACACCATGGACAGGTACAGTAGTTCTGTCTATAGACAGCCAGACAGTACACCACGGACAGGTACACGTTCTATCATCATAATCAGCAAGGCTCTCCCCAAGCAATGAAGCAAGGGTGCTCCCCCTCTATCTAAAATGTTCAAATTAAGGGTTTTTTCTTAAGTGTGACAGGCTGAATAAAAGTTCTAAATGGGAATTATGCAGCTCCAGATGTCTCACTGAGGGACGACTGCATGTGCAAGATGTCAGTTAGCTTGAGGAATGAATCCCCTCTACTATGTATGGGTTTTGTCTTAGTATTTACATGTACATGAAAATTCTCTGATTTTTCATCAACCTATTAGGGAGAACCCCTACCCTAAGAATTGCTAGGGAGACTTCTAGTCAGGTTTTTATGGCTTCTTTTATTTCTGTCGAGGATGGCCAATGGTTTATAGTTTCATAGGTCTGATTACTAATACACATATTGTAAATGTAATCAAATATGTTTGTGTTGTACATAATAGAAATGTAGTGTAATATAAACTCCAGAGAGTGTTGATTGTACAATGACAATGATCAAAATACGGCAAGTAACACAATAATTATTGTTTTCCCCTAGAATCCAGTTTGGTGTGCCGCTGGCCCGTAATCAGCTGATTCAGAAGAAGATGGCGGACATGCTGACAGAGATCTCCCTCGGACTGCAGTCATGTTTACAAGTAGGACGTCTCAAGGATCAGGACAGGTCAGGCACCACTTAGTGTGGTTCTTACTACCTACTAGTAACATTATCAGCAAGTTTCACCCACAAGAAACTACATGTACTGAAATGTCATCTTTTTACAAAATAAAAAATGTTTAATGATGTTACCTTTAAAAGTTATCTAAAGGTAACATTATTATGCACATATTATGTTAATGTAGAGGTCATTTCCATAATTCATGAGGACATGTTGAAATAAAACATTGCCGAAGGATAGGAATTTCAAGTTTAGAAAACCATAAATTAAAGTAGATAATCATTATGATTATTACGGCCTTATTTTCATAATCAATTAGACAAATAAAAACATTTATATAAACATATTTCATGGAGACATTAGGTCTCTGAAATCTTGTGAAGATTGAAAAAACACTAGGAATTGGGAAAATCTGTTCAACTTTCAGTGCAAATGTTAAACTTTATTAGCAGGATTCATGGAATAGCAATATTACTTTATCATCAAGTTAGTCACTACTCTGCATTGACTGTTACAGTGTTATTTATGCCTATGCAATGATGATGTTTTGTATGAGGTAAGATTTCTTATATTTATTTGTGTTTCTCCTTGTTTGATCCACTTCAGAGCCACTCCAGAAATGATCTCCCTGATCAAGAGGAACTCGTGTGGGAAGTCCCTGGACATCGCGCGGGCGGCGCGGGACATGCTGGGAGGGAACGGGATCTGTGACGAGTACCACGTCATCCGCCATGTCATGAACCTGGAGGCCGTCAACACTTACGAAGGTCAGGACGGGACTTACAAACTCTCATACTAGAGACATGATTAGTAATGTGGAACTAGTTCTGGACTTGTAAAAATGTTTAGGTTCAAGTCCAGAAAAACATGAATGTTTGGAACTAGTTCTGGACTGAAAAAAAATCATGTCATATTCCCCTTTTGTTCTAAACCACCTGATATCTTCAATAGTCCAAAATTTGCGCTGCAAAGAAAATATGGGCATCATCAAGTGAATTATGCGGCCACAGTTTTGCCCAGACATGCCCTGCAAACAACATATCTTGCTTCTAAGCCCTGGTAGTGCCGATAATATAAAGAATACCCCATTTTCGATTTGGAAATGCTCACTGAGAATTCCCTTCTGTATATTTCATATGCCCTGGGTAAAGGTTCAGATTTGAACCTAAATCTCTGGACTTGAATCTGGACCTGGACCTGAATGTACAGTGGGTTTAGGTACACAGCACTAGACATGATTGTTGAACCTGTAAACTATCCTTCTTTTTTCTTGGTTACCTTTCATTTCCTGATCCATTTTCTATTGAAGTAACAGACTGGTTTGTTTTCTTTTTGACCCCACAGGAACACATGATATCCATGCACTGATCCTGGGGAGGGCCATCACTGGGATACAGGCCTTCATGAACAAGTAGCCATGTGCCTCTGCTCTATGCACAAAACATGCAGACAAGAACAGGCAGTTGTTTGGAACATGCCCTGAATGTTTTGTTTTTATGCCATTCTATCAACAACAGGTTGGAGGCTACTTCTAATTTTTGCTTCATGTCTTCTAAAATTGTAGTTTGAAGAAAAACAGGAGATTGTATGACATTATTGACTTGTTCTACTATTTCCTATATTTCATGTACAAAGATTTTAGCCATTACAGATCTTCCAACCATAATGTTGTAGCAAACTCATGTTTAAGATTACAACCAGTCTCTCTTTCAGGAATGGGAAATATATTGTTCTTGTGTCTGTGTAATGAGGGGGTTGTTTGGATACTTCAAAGACATTTTTGAAGCTCTTTATTGAAGAATGGAAATTAGTCCATATGTAATATACTAGAAGATAGCACATACATACTAGTAGTATAACATGCATGAACTATGGAAGACAAAAAATACACAATTTTTGTTGCAAAAATAGCTTTTTGTTTGTCTGGCCCTCTTGTAGAATAACATTGTTGAAGAGAATTTATAAATTGGTCCCTAGTATGAGATTACTTATTACTGTGTAGGCAAATGAATTTTGCCTATAGAAAAAAATTGGACCTGATATATTTTGAAATGGTGCCCTGTATGTGTTGGTGTTGTCCATAGACTAAAACTGGCAAGCTAGCTAGCCTTCTTGTACCCATACTTTAACTTCCTATCCTCTTAAGCTTAAGGAGTGTAGGAAATCCAGACTACTTCTCTTTACTTTGATACTGGTGCACAGGAGAGTTGTGTTGACATGTAATACATGTGTATTGGTTGTGTACATGGTGTAGAGACTGATTAACTTATATGTACACTATTGTACAGGATTAAAGGAACATCTAGAAGAGTTGATGTACCATGTGTGCTGTTTTCTGTTTGTGGTCAGTAGGTTTGAAAGAATGGATTTGGAACTGACCAAAAAAGAGGTTGTGCAAAAATACTGCAATTTTGTATTCATACATACATACATACATACATACATACATACATACATACATACATACATACATACAGTTTGTATAAGTGACATTTCTGGATAAGGGTTGTTACAAATACGCATGAAAATATGAATATCTGTCCACATACAAATAGTGATTCTTGAGATAGCAGCATGACAGGTTGTTGGAGACACAAGGAAGCCATTGATGTACATGTAGTTCTCTTTGAACTTTGTTTGCTGCACTTTTTGACTTGTTCACAAGGTGGTGCTCTCACCAAACTCGATCACAACACGAATCTGAAATAAACAAAAATGCGTGTGAAATGCAACACAAATGATAAGCTAGAATCGTGTACATACATGTAGAATGGGGTGTAAAAGGGTTATATAGCTAACAAACAACTGCAATCATATTAGTAGAATGGAGTTTAGAAAGGAACTACTTCTAACGTCAGTATCAGTATGTTTTGTTTCCATGGAAACCTACCCCGTCCGTTGTCTGGGTAACCAGGCGTTCTCTGTCCTTCATCTTTGCACTTCGTCGCTTGGCCCCTAGATGGCGCTTGCGTCCGGTTGCAGTCAGCTTGCTGAGCCAAGTCTTCCCGACCAGGACCTGGTACCTGCTCAGTCCGGGAGTGTTCCTACCCTGACGCGGCACGGCTGGTCTGTAGGCTGGCAGGAACTGCTGAAGTCCAAAGTCAGCAGCATCTGTTGAAACCAATGCAGTAGTTACGTGGGGTAACGGTAGAGTTCTTTTCTTGGAACCAAGAGGTCCTGGGTTCGAACCCTGCCATGCCACCGATCTTGTGCCAATGGGAAAAGCAATTTAAACGAATTTCCTCACTTTACTCAGGTGAAAATGAGTAAGATTGCCTGTTGTTCGCTCATTCATTTGTCTGTGTTGGTGGCAGCATGAAAATACTGAATATAAGTTGAAAAACTTGAGTGTGCCGTCGCTGTCTTGTAAAAGATGGAATAAAAAAACTGTACGTTGTTATGAAGGCATTTTCGAGAGCTTACAAACTTTCCAATAGTTGTATCCTTCACTTTCGAGTCTCTTTGAAAGACGACAGTGTGTACGCTTCAAATTAAAGACAATATTATTGGAACGCATTTATGTAACAAGTAATGATAACTGTGTAGTGCCCTCTGTTAAATTTCAATATGGAGGAAAGATATTTTTGAATGAATGCTCGATTTGAGTATTAAACAGATTATATCTACTAAAATCACAACTGACCGAGCATCGCGGCATGCAGTGATGTGTTGCTGGTCCTAACGGACGACAGGAAGGAGTTGAGGCTCGCGGTCTTCAGCAGGTTGATGCCCGTGCCACCGCGCGCACACCCCGCCTCTCCTCCTCGGCGCTCGGGTGGACCTGCGCCCGAGGTCTTCATCCCGAAGGTCCGCTGCAGGGCTGGAGCAGATAGCGAGGGACCGGCGCTTTGACCAGGGCTGAGTGGACGGGGGCTTTTCTTGTTGTTGATGGTCTGGACGAGAGAGAAGCTCGGGAAGACGCCATCTTTCTCATCATCAGCATCGTCCTCATCAACAACAGAGTTGTCAGTTGAAACATCTTTCTTGTGCAAGCTAAGAAGCTCGTTATGGTCGTTAGCAGACGACGTAGCAACCTCCAGGTCCGGCGCCTCTGAAGGTCCACATCCACTGGACGGAACGGCATTGGGAGGGACGGCATTGGGAGGGACGGCATTGGGAGGGACGGCATTGGGAGGGACGGCATTCGGAGGGACGGTATTCGTTGACTCATTATTCGGAGGAACGGCATTGGCTGCAGCTGACTCATCATTTGCAGAGACGACCGACACTGGTAGAACTTTGTCGTCCAGTGCTGCCGTTGACTTAGCTTGAGCGAAGTCGCCGTTCGAAGCACGAGGTTGATCTGTTATGACGACCTCAACCGAGGAAAGCGTCACCACAGCAGGCTCCTTTGTCTCGGCATCCTCTCCGCAGAAACAGAAGCTAGTTTTCTCCTTCTCAGAACCCGGTTCTCTCTCGTCTACCTCTTCAAACGTCAGGGTCGGATCGGTCAGATCAATGTAAGGAGGGACCATTTGAATACCTGGAAACCAAAGGATGAAAAAGAAAGTAGAGTCTTAGATCCACATGTGCAACTTTTCTTTTTAATATACTACTGGACTTAACCACTGATCTTGACAATGCACGATTAAAAACTTTCTCGACCTATGTTGTAGGTCTGTTTGTAAACATCTGTACAGGACATGTAAGTTAAACATGTTTGTCGATACCGTGCATAGTTCAATATCTGTAAACCGCGCGTAAAGAAATTTGCCATACGCTGCACTGCGAAAATCTTTCAGTAGGCTATAATTGATCTTTAAAGTCTGCCGAAATATTTTCCCGTCTTAAAGCAGGTTTCAGTACGTATTTCGCAAATTTTGCTTGAATATCTGTTTTCGTGCTGTGAGTGAAAAAGCTGCATTTAAATACTGAACGCAATACGCGTTATGTTTTTTTTTTGTTTATGTAGAGACTTTAATAATCAGTAAAGTAGTGATGCTGCTCACCAGTTGGTTCGCGGTACAGCCAGTCTCCGTTAGTTGAGTCAGCATCTCCCGAACAACATTTACAACAACACACAGCCTTGCAGACACTACAAGTCCTGTCTACAGCCACGTCTTTCACGTTACTGGCCCATGTCACGAAGCGATACACGGCGACTGCAGCAGCCATGGTTCGGTAAAACTGGTAACTAGGAGCGGACCGAAGGGCAGGTTCTGGAACACCATCCATTGTTTGAAGTCTCTGCCAACTCTAGAACCAGGTTCTGTATGATCACACTTTCTGAAAGAACATGCTTTTGGTATTTCACTCCATACCATGGTGTGGATGAAATATATTGTTTTCCCTCGTGTTTCTTCTGCTGCCATTTCGTAAAATGGATTTAATTAATTTTTTTGGCCAAATTACTTGAATTTTAGCATAAAGGTAGAGTGGCAGAAATACCCCCAGTCGTTTTTTGGCAGGCAAAACAATGCACATTTTGGGATCTGAGGCCCTGGTATTAAATCCAAATGACCTGAATCTTAGGATTCTTGCACAACGATCTTTAGCTTGTGTTTAATAATTCTGGTAGGGGATTACAACCAACCACTATTGTGAAAAATATTTTATCTGTGCATTCATCCAACTTTCTTTACTGGAATAGCCCCAGTGCATCTATCGATGCAAAGAATCTCTCCTCCTACCACTAAATTCTGAGGTAATTTTTACAAGAAATGGGCACATTATTCCATATAGAAACGTTCCCAGCCAACCGTGTGTAAGAAACTGGAGAAACTGACTTAAAAATTTATAATTAATGCAAACAACACCAATTACATGAACAAAGTTTGTTTTATTTAATAGAACTATATCATTTAATAAACCCTACCAATAAATCCATCTTCTCTATATCTACAGATAAATTTTACTACCCCATCACCATATATTGTACAACTCTCCCTCAAAAACCGAGTTCCTGATTAAACTTTACACATTGCTTATATGTTCCAACAAACATTGCGGCAATGAGCAGGAAAGTGTATAACAACCTTTTTACTTCATTGCACAACATGGGCAAGGAAGAAGTTACTTTTGCCTTCTTGTCTTGGGAAGATGCAATAAGTAGGCAAATACATAGCTGTAAGACCCAACATATGCTCTGCCCATACTAGTACATGTAATTGAGACAGATCCACCCCATAGTGCAATAATGTTACATCCTTAGTATTAAATTCGAACCATGATTGTAGCATTTAATTCACAACTAGCAACAACGGCAACAGTGTTGTGATACAAGTAATACAGTTAACCAGCTTATATGCAAGCTGTAAGATGAGACATCTGTGTCCATAATATCACCAGGGTCCATAATATCGGCACCTTGAGAAACAGTGTGCTTAAAGATATTTTTACTGCAACATACCCTAGGAATGTACATTTGAGGTGTGCAGGAGTGCATACAAAAAGTATGTTACAGTAAAAATATCTTTAAGCACACTATTTCTCAAGGTGGCGATATTATGGACCCTGGTGATATTATGGACACAGATGTTACTTTTCTCTACAATAACTTGAACAAAAAAGTGAAGCAAAATGGTCTCAAAAACGTAACTTCGCACAACTTTGCTTTCAAAGCTGATGTAACAGTAACTCCCAAAGAATTCAGAAACAAGTCTTTTTTCTTTTCAAAGACTGCTCCATTCCTGTATTTCTCAACATAAACATGTAATGGGCTCTTTTGGGAGGGCTTCCATAATTTTGGTTGAATGAATTGGTTACAACTTTCAAGTGTGTTTAAAATCTAATGTCCTCAGAATTTACAATTTAAAACTGAGCACCAAATAAGTTGAATTTGCTATTGTTATCAATATCATTTGTAAATTGAAAAGAGCAAAACACTGTGAAGTGAATGCAGTTATTTATCTACAGCATTTTCTTACAAAATAGCTTAGTTTATAATCAGATAGTAATATCAACATAAAAAAACTACTAGTATATACAATTTTAATCATGTGTGATAGACATTTCCTCCAAAAGCTTGCTCATTTGCTTTAACACAGTAAGGAGTGGTCTACACATTTTTGGAATGTCAATTGCTTTCATGAAGTCTATTGAGCAAAAGCTGATATTGCTTTAAAGTTTACTGGAAAAAGTAGTTATCTTCTCTGACTCACTTTGGTATATGATTACATCCCAACAATGCATACCAGGGCTCGAAATACTGAGTGCTTGTGCACCTTAGTGCACCCAATTTTTTTCTGTGGGTACACTGGTGCACCCAAATATTTTTGTAGGTATTTTTGTCTTGTCTAGTGTCAAGAAAAATAATAAAATCTATGTTGTGGTACTTGTTTAAGATTTTGAAGTTAGCTTCAGATTCAATCTCAGAAGAGGAGAAGTAAGATCTATATTTAGGTTTTGTACTGTATGGTGCACCAAAAAAAATTTTGGAGCACCCAATTTTTTTAGGTTGGGTGTACCAGTGCACCTATTCCCAAAAATGAATTTCGAGCCCTGCATACACAACCTATTGTATGGCAAGATCAGGAAAGGCTCCAAACAGTTTTTCTCTACCTAGATGTAATGCTCAAATGACTGCGACCTTTAGTTCTATTTTGCTACGTGAGTGATTTCTAAAAGGCCTTTGGCCCTACATATTGGGACACTTGAGTCCCCATATGGATGTCCAGCGGTAGCCTGTGGTTGGACGAGCCACCGTGCTGAAGAGACGAGTGTTCACCTTCACGCGAGGGAGGAGTTCTTTCAGGTTAGCAATGCCGATCTCACACAAGATGCCGAAGACTTCTAACGTAGCCAGCTTGGGCATGGCACCAAGGTTCCTGTCATGGGGAACAAAGAATAGAGACATTAATGACACATTTCTATTGGCAAACTTTTGATTTTAGACAAATGTTGTGCAGACAATAATTGGGAAAATGTTCTCAGACTTGAGCACTTCATCTATCACTGATGCTCAAACCAATGATTCAACAAACAAACAAATGGATGGATGTACAAATGAATCAATGTTTTCAAGAGAAGCCTTGTGAGATAGTACAAATATCTGTATCTGTATAGTCGGCGTAACACACTAGCTTCGCAGGAACGTGATGCGGCGGCAGCTGGCTTCACGACTTGGTACACCTAACCCTTGAACATTTAACTCTAAACTTTAACTTTAAAGCTATCTATTGACAATGCCCCTACTGTACATGGTGACAGTGAGTTCCACTCTACGATAGTTCTAGGAAAAAATGACTTTTTGAACACCTCAATCCTTGGTTGATAACTCCAGTACTTGAAGGCATGACTATTTCTTGTTCTTTTCTGAGCTGGGTACTTAGTAGTTGGTATGTCCACCAGTTTATTAGTACTTACACTAAATATGCTGTGTTGATGTGATAACAGTAGCTGTGAAATAGTACAAATACTTACACTAGGTATGCTGTGTTGATGTGATAACAGCGGCTGAGTGCCAGGTGTCTGACAGACTGGAGTCCATTGATGAGAGTCTCCAGGGTGGTGGGAGTCAGCAAGCTACTGTCACTGGGGAGGGGGGGGGATACAAAAGTTCTCAGTGTTAGAAATACCACCTGCAGTCTGCATTTTGCAGAGACATTTTCGATATCACAGAAGAAAAATTAAGCAACCTGCAATTTTGCCATGCAAACAATAACCCTAACAGCAACCACCGTCGCCATGGCAATGTATGTTTTCATTGCCAGTCTTGTTCAAATTGCATGTAAAATATTTGCCAACATGTAATTTTGTATAATTTTGCCATGGGTTTAGATCCAGACTTTTGAGGGAGTATTTGCAGAAAGTATTTCCAAACTGCAGAACAAAATTTTGACAGTCTGCAATATTGCAGTACACTGAAAAAAGGATTTCTATCACTGTCTTAGCTTTGCAAATTTCAGTTTCATATCATCTGTACTTTCAATTGGACGAGAAGGTGTGAAACAATGGATGCATTCGCAGGTAGAATAGTGCAAACTTTATGTAACACTAATGCAGATCATAATAAAACAACAAGCAAACACATTTCAAGACAAAACATTTAGAAAAGAAATGATCGCAAAACACATTGCCTATCAGAGAAACCCCAGAAATCCTTGGTTGTGACTGAATTTTAGAGAAGACACTGTCTTACCTGACATCTAACTCAATAAGACCTGGACATCTCTGCACCACCATATACACAGCTTCATCAGTCAGCAGACTTCTGAATCCACTCAGGTTCAGGTGTTCAAGACTCCTTGGTAGGTTGCTTACAACCTGAAGTGGAAGAAAAAATTATATAACACTTGTATTGCATCCTATGGCATCGCAAGCTGTAATATGAGTATGTTTTGAACTGTCATCATCAAGCAAGAAAAATGAAAAATAATGTACACGTACAACTGAACTCAAGACAGTACTTACAGCGGCTAGAGTGGGGTAGTTGAGATTCGTCCATGCAATATTCAGACTCGTCAGCCTAAGTGAGAAAAAGAAAAGCATATCATTATGATTCTGATTTCTATATGAATGCTATCTGCTGCACTGGACCTTCAGTAAGAGTAATAAAAAGTACATTCTATCAGGCCTGGCAGTACATTCACATTACAAGACATGATTGTATCTAATGGTAGAACCAGACTTTGACATTACTTACTTGTTACACTGCTGCATCATGTAAGCCATAGCCTCATGGTCCTCCCCTATACCTGTACACATGGCCAGGTTTAGTGTGTCCAGGTCTGAACACTGCCCAATGTACCTGTGGATACACAAACATTGGGTCAGATACCAGTGGTAGAAACACTTTTTTTCAGTGTTCTGCTATTGCAGAATGTCAAAATTTTGTTCTGCAATTTGGAAATACACACTTAAAAGTCCGGATCTAAACCCATGGCATATACAAAATTGCATGTTTGACAAGAAAAATTGACAGCAAAATTGCTTGAATGTATATTATAGAGTAGTAAACACAAAAGCTTTTGTATTATAGAGTAGTAAATACAAAAGCACCATTGAACCCCTAGCCTGATTTTTTTAGTCTGCAAAATTGCAGGTTGCTTAATTTTCCTTCTGCAACGTTGAAAATGTCTCTGCAAAATGCAGACTGCAGATGGGTATGATAATAAATACAGAACGTTGAGTTGTCTACCTGAGTGTCTCCCCTGACACACTGCATGACTCCAGGCTCAGTTTGACCAGTCTGCTGCACAGTCGCAGGACCTCATTCACAGACGACACCTCAATGTTACACATGGACAGGTCCAAGTACTGCAGCTTCAGGGGACTGGTACAGGAAAAACAATTATGTCAGAGAAACACTACAAAACAACAAGACTATACATCGAGGGTTCTAAATTTGCGTTCTCCATGGTTCACCTTTTTTAAATTTCAAACAAAGTAGCAATAAGAAAAAGAGTTTCAGTGTTTTCCTTTGGTAAACATAAAGAGTATCAGGAGAAACAATAGCATACAGAAGAAAACGCAACTCAAGAAATTCAATTATTTTTTTGTTTTCTAAGCTTTGTATCACAATGTTTACAAATATTTTGCTTGAGTATGTACATAACCTTGATGTCCAAACAACATGAAAACTACTGACCATTCCTGGACAGACATACAGTTGAGTCCCATCTCGTCATGGAAGACTGGGGAGCAGACATCCGTTCTGGCTAGCCTCAGAACAGTCACCCCTCGGGCCACCAAATAGCCTAGAGCTGCAGGCCGCAGGGACTTTCCTGACAGGTCTATTCTTCCCCACAAAGATTCATCCAAACTGTAGGCAATATAAAAAAGATACATGAGTAATCCTAATTCAATTTAAATTGGTTAGTGCTAGATGTATAATATGACATGAACAACCAACTATGTACTTTCTGCACTGTATACTTTATCAGTCAAAGAAGTACTCTGTTATCATCTCTCTCCAACATAGTAGAGCTACAGCATCTCAATGACAGTTCTTTATGTTCCTTACTGCTACGAGGGTCCACGCCACTTTCACATTCACAAAACTGTAATGTCTTCAATGTAGTTCAAAACTTTATTTACTGTACAGGTAGATTCTTGTAATAGATCAGCAACTTGTCTTGTTTACACTCATTTTTCTTTTACACATTTTTTAAATTATGTATGTAATAGTATTTTGTCATTGTGTTTTACTCTTGTTTTATATTTTTCAGTAGAAAGCATTATAAGTAACTGTGCTTCTTGCCTGATACTCAATAAATATATTTTTCAGTAGAAAGCATTATAAGTAACTGTGCTTCTTGCCTGATACTCAATAAATATATTTTTCAGTAGAAAGCATTATAAGTAACTGTGCTTCTTGCCTGATACTCAATAAATATATGTAAATAAAAAAAAGACCAACCAAGACATGCTGATATTGCCTCATCATGATCCACTCACATATTACATGTAAATGATTGGCATTGAATGTCTGATTGAACTTATCTACTTTTTTGTCATCAAACAAAATAAAACAAAACACAATGTGTTCCACAACAAAGATAAAGAAACACAATTTCCTTGAAACTAAGATTCTTAATTAGATTTTCCAGCTAATTCACTTTACACAAAATACTAATTGATGGCAAAACAATGAGAATAATCAAGGACATTATACGGAATAATCAAGCACAAGATTTTGTTGATGAAAAATTAATTAGTTTGAAGGTGTAATGATGAAATACAAACAGTTGAAGTAAACAATGGTGACTTACCCTACGTTGTGCCATCTGCTACAGACCATCATGCACCTGGACAGGTCCCGTTTGTTGAGCCAGCTGAAGACTGACAGGAGCAGCTCATCTGACAATCTCTCCCAGGGAACTGTAGGAAAACTAGATTTTTTAAACAAACTGCCCTGCAGTTCCAGAACAAGCTGCTAGGGGACCTAAACTAATGGCATTTCTTCCCTAGCCCAAGAGCTATCTATCTTCCAAAATTTGTGACCCTTGCATGTCTACATCATGAGATATCAAAACCAGAAGTTCTGCTGTAGTGCCTAGCTAAAAAATAACCGACCTTGACCTGCTGTTGCATCAATTTTCTGCCTGTGTTGCTTCTGGGACATCCAGCGACAGGGCGTGGTCTTCTGCTGGGGGCGAAGTCTGCTCTCCCCCGGGTGGGAATGGACTGTCTCACACTTACGGGGCTGAGTGGGAAACAATGTATGGTAAACTCTAGTAGTATGGTGATAGGACCTACTACATGTTTGTAGTATGTAAGTCTTCAAGCCCGAAGGCAATGGTAGATGAACAAGATTTTACCTATGACCTTCCTCAGGGATAATGACCCACTTATACCTGTCACACGAACACAGGATTAGTTACAAGTACAGTGTATATGAATGGAGGATGAGTCTAATGCTTTTGTAGACATAATACTATTGAGAGTTCAATTGGAAGTATATTGTCCTGTAGTTGTATTGTAACAGTATAGAGTTTTCTAGTACTCTAACGTCTCAAGACAGAAAGATGCCAATGAACGTCACTACCAAGGCTAGCTCAGAAGTGACAAGTCTTTGTTTGTTTTAGCCTTTTTTTGCTTATTCATGATCACATAAAACACTGAAAATGGCCTGCTAACTGCTCTTCATTTTACTGGAAGTGACAGTGCTGTACCAAGGACAATATTTAGAGATTATACTGCCTCCATTCCAAGAAACAAAGAAATAAACCTGTGCTCTACCAACCTTAGGAGGGAAGAGTCCATTGTTGACCATGATGGGAGGGGTGGGACGGAGTTTCTCTACGCAGTCGTCCTCTACCAGGATCTCCCGCACGCCCAGGTCATCGTAGATGTGCTGTGTGATGATGGGGTCAACGTCCCACGTCATAAACGTCATGTTTGTCGCCGACGGATTCTCAAAAATCTCGGAACGGATTTTCCTGCAATAGAGATTTACAATCAACATTCTAAAATCATGTCCAGTTGCTTGAGTAATATTTTTTTGGCATATCTTATTACCTGGATGTCTAGTCAAAGTTCTAACTTGCATGAGGGCAAATCCCTATGGATACATGTGGGGTCGTGTGGTGTAATGGCAAAGTGTTCGGCTCAGAACCAAGAGGTCCCGGGCTTGACCCTGCCATGTCACCGATCTTGTGCCCTTGGGAAAGGCACTTTGCACTTTACACGACTTTCCTGGATGGAAGCCTGGCGAACCCCATCTCGTATTAGCCACAAAAAGGCAGCAGAATCTTCAGCTAGCTGAAGGTGACTGTCTCAAAAATTATGAAAGAAGAAGAAGATACGTGAATGAACCCATACTGTATGATTCCCATTCAACAGCAATTTCATAATTGATAAAACACGTTTATAAATGAATTTCATAATCGTCCCATACAAATAAACAACATATTATGATACTTTCAGCAAGGAGGTTTCAAAATACTAGTACTAGTAGTAAACCAAGGAGGTTTTCTTTCACTGACCTGCAAGCAATAAATTCTGTCTAGAAAAATGAAGCATGTATGAAAATCGCTACCGTTATGGGTGCAACACAATCTGATACAAATTATAGAGTGAACGCTATACCTGCTACTTGTTCAGTCAGGAGGGATGTATCAACTGTTCAAATGTCTGGGCAAAGTCTGATTCTGACTGACAGCGTTTAACGCAAGATGCTGAACAATCGACGTCCAGATTTCCATAAGAATTGCAGTGGAATTTTTGAAGCATGCCGCCAAGTACAGAATATCCATACAAAAGCGGGGCCGCTGAGTTTGTTTGTCTGGGAAAGCCGACTGAAGTCTGTCATGTAAATTGCCACAAGCCTACCACCTCAGCGGGTGTAAAAATGCTCCGTGGTTTCACAATGTCGGCCTTCCTTTTGATGTCTAGTCCCGTACCCTAAACAACGTAAATCGATATGAAAAGAAATCTAAAGAAAGAAGCAAAAAAGCCCAATTTGATCGTAGGAACAGGAAAATATGAAAACAAAATTTTCGGTTGATCACCTGCAACGCGCTACATGTTGTTTTGGTGCAAAATTTCGCGCGCTATTTTGACGACCATAAATAGCTTAAATCTACGAAATCTTATACAGATACTAAGAAATAAGCACTTAGATGAATGCGTCTAGGTATAAACTATGTCCCCACCTAGTTTGAGCCCGCGTGCGCCGCTTCTCGTTGCAGTCCAGGTCCGAATCGTTGCAGGACGATCTCTTCCCGTTCGTGTTTGCCGCCATCTTCTCACGATTTGCTGAGTTGGTCAATAACGCCATTTCCGGTTAGGGGATACTTTCCGGAAGTAGCTCATATTTTCGTTTTCTAAGTATCGAACCAACGTGTTTGAGTTATATAAAAACATTATTAGTCACCATCATCTACTTGGTTACGATATTTATGATATTCATGTGCTCAATATGATTTATAGAGATATTTTTCCCCATTTTTGCATGGTTTTGGTTTCGGCTTGCAATTTGAATGATTCTATTTATACAAAGGTGACACTAGAAATATCGTGCAGTAAAAAAACTGAATATGTTGGTGATCAGTCTCCATGATGGCATTTAGGAACACAAAACAATATATTTATGTACAATAATCGATGTTATTATCTCTTAATCATGTACATTTAGAGTTATTTATATTTTTTAAATTTAATATCATAGCTTTTCCCCCCACAGTTTCGAATGGTCCAAATTTGCGTGCTGACCTGCGCAGAAGTGCTGACGTAACACATGGCGGGCAAAATGGCTGCTTCCAGTTAGAGAAAAATTTCAAAATTTCAGTTTTCAGAGTTTATACTACGTTTCCTTGAGGAGTTGACATTTACTGTGACGTTTGAGTGATCTTCTAAACTACGTGGCTCATTTGGAAGGTATGTGTCATTTTTGTTTCAGCTCAATATGTTGTTTGTGGAGGAAAAATAGATAAAGATTTTTCCGGACATGGACCCAAAACGTTACATACATCAGAAACCAGAACAAAAGTTATGATATAGCATAATTTATGCCAGCTGAACCATGATACTGTATGTCTTTGAATTCGCCTGACAACTCTAGAATAAAGTTACATGTATAAGAAAAGTGATACGTGCGAAAGATTGTTATGCACAATTATCATAATTGCAGTTGCACATAGGTAGTCTCCAAACTGTATATCAAGTTATCTATGATTTTTATGTTCTTTGAGACGACCCAGCAAAAAAGTATACCATGGTCAATCCCCTTTCTCCCCTTTCCCTAGTATACTAGAAAATTAACCTTGCAAGTAAGTCGTAAGTTAGCCGTGGTACAGGCATTATCATGCAAAAAGGGTTACCAGAGTGGTCCATGGCTAGTCGTAAGTAAGTATTTACATGAGCACCTCGAATTATATGTCTTAAATATTTAAGATTTTTGCGCCCAAACTGTAGATATGTAGATAATTGAAATTTTTCAGATTGACATTTTCAATAAGTTTCAACACTATTTATTTATTAGCGTCGCTCTTTTGCTTTCCCAGCAACTAAGTGCAGTGCGTGAATAAGTTGCGCCAGGCCCGCTCTATTTTTAGGAGGCTCCAAAAAAAAATGTAAACAAACAGCATGGCCGTGATCCATGCTACAGCAGAGGAGTTAGCAGTTTTCCAACACGTTTTTGTGGCGCAACGACGTTGATCTTTTACTTCCCAAATGTTATTACAAACCCAGGTAGGCTTATGGCGCAAGAAAATGTGTAAAACAATGTTTAAAAATAGTGAAAATATTACATAATTTGCTTTAAGAAAATTGTTGTATATTATCAGGCAGACATGGCATCCCTTGGACTGGGTGGAGCAGGGGCGTCGGCACAAGAAGCCCTGGAGGCTGCTGGGAAACAGATTGACAGGAACATCGTATCTGACAGGCAGTACGGGGATCTGTCAGACCTGCTCAGGGTCTCCTCACATGGTGACTTTCTTCTTTATTTGATGATTGTTATGATGTATGAAATCAACTTGCCTTAGTAATGGCTTAGTAAAGTCTGGCTGATGAAATTATGTATAACTTATAAGTTGGAGGCAAACAGATTACATGATAGGATATTGACTGGCCGTTGCACTTTTAACAGCCATGACCTTTGTAGTAGCTGACCATATGGAAAGAGACATTTGCATGATATATAGTGTGATAGGTAGGTCCTGATTGGTTAGTGAGGGTTGTAGTTTCTCATTTGTATAGTATCCTAGACCTATGGTAACTCTCTAGATGCAACTAAGTGTTAGACTATATATACGTGTACGGTGTACCTGTTAGGAGAGTAAACATATGGATCAAACACACGTTGCAAGAAGTAATCAAACTGGTATATATGGATCCCCATTTATTGTAAGCAATATATAGACACTAATAAGTTGTTACACACTTAGGTCTAAGGAGTTAGCAGTTGAATCAGTTCACAATAAAGTAAATTGTAATGTAAACAGGACAAATCAGCTTGGAATTGAAAACAATGACCTGGATATTAAATTTAAGGCCTAGAGAAAAAAAAATGTTGTGTTTCCTGTTTCAGTTGGTTTCAGGGTGGGTAGCTTTTTCTAGGTTAAGTTGGGAAACAGGAAACACAACATTTTTTTCCTAGGCCTAATGCTTGTGATTGGTCTGTTCCACAGGATCTCCCAGTATGAGTGGAGTGAGTGAGCTGGACTACCCTGCCCTGTCCACCCTCCACCCTGCCCTGGCTAACCTGCCTCTCCTCAGTCCTGTCAGGAGGGTTCCCCTCCCTCCTGAGCTGGTTGAACAGTTCAGCCGTATCCTTTTAGAAATATGTAACAACTGGAAATGCACGCGTATTTTGACCCACTATACCGGTGTGATGGCCAAGTGGGTAGAGTGCTCACCTTGCATTCGGAGGGTCGTGAGTTTGATCCCCAGCCAAGTCATACCAAAGACTTTAAAAATGGTACATACTGCTTTCTCTGCTTAGCACTTCGCATTTGGAAAAGAGTATGTGAGTTTAAGTTTACATTTTTGCTGCACACACTGTTATGCAGCAAAAATGTATAAGGTAAGGTTTGTAACTTTGTATTGTATTTATTCACTCACTGAAGAGACATGCGGTCTGGATCTACATTTGTTCAGGAGCTTCCTTAACCAGACTTTTACAGGTATGCAGTGCAATTGCATGATGGGAGTGTTCCCAGAGATCAGTAGGGCGTGGCTGACCATCGACAGTGACATCTTCGTGTGGAACTATGAGGATGGGTAAATTCTTCTGCTAGATTAATATTGATATTTGTAATTATGATATCCCACAAGTCAGCTGCAACTTGTTTAACTTTGAACTTCCAGGGTTTATAAGTAAGGTGATCTCTCTCTCACCGTGTCTCTCTCTCTCTCTAACCTAACAAACAATCTAGATTTTCATTCTATGGCACTCTGACTTTTGTCCTATTTCTGCTTCCTCAGGAGTGACCTGGCATATTTTGATGGGCTAAATGAAACCATTCTCAGTGCAGGTCTGGTGAAACCAAAGCCAGGTAAGTTGGACAATAGAATTGATGGAAAAGTTAAACCATCATGAAAATAGTACTGGTACTTGTATGTTTCATGTCTGTGGAAGGAAACAATTAATATCCCAAATATTCTTTGGAGGCCATGTTTTTATCATTCAAACACATTGTTTTTAACCAATATTGCAGGTATATTCCAGCCCCATATCAAGTTCCTCCTGTGCCTGACCACTCCAGTGGACATAGTTCTCTTAGGAGTCAGCTTTGCCAATTCTCCTGAAGGTACAGTACCTCAGAATTCAAGATGCTGATCATGTTTAAATGTTTGATATAGCACATTGAAGTAGCCATTTGGCTACCAATTTTCTATAGGAAAGGCAGCATAAAGAGGTAAAATTAAAAAATTTTTGTATGTTCCTCAGCAGAAGTTTATCAAAAGGAAGTATCTTGTATAGATTCCATAGCTGGAGTCTAAAGTTACAGGTTGCCATGCATGTGATACAGGTGTTTCCATATCTGCAGGTGCAGCACCTGGAAGTCAGTATGCAGAGATGCACCTGTTGCCAGATCCCCTGTTCTCCATCCCGTCTGACAACACCTACATCCTGAGTGTGGTGGGAACAGACAAGGGACGCATCTTCCTGGCAGGGAAGGATGGGTGCCTGTATGAAGTAGTATACCAGGTACGGCACAGTTGAGATTTTTGTGGAGGGGACAGGCAAGTCTCTATCTGAAAGTGAAATGGCTTTAGCTTATTCATTGCCAAAATGTTGATATTTACTGAAGGAAAACATATTTCGTTTTCTCTATTTCCTCTTCTTGTTCTCCAAACAAATAAGGTCAATGACCTGAACCAGACGTCTGTCAGTGTCACCATGGTAACTAGTGTTGGGTTACAGCAATTTTATAGCAGGATGGATTTAGACTCCTATCAGCATATGAATGTGTTTGAGTAAGAATTAACAGAGCAGATCACAAGCGAAGGTAAACATTATGCATTTGCTTTGCAACTTTATGTTACCTTTCCAGTTGCTATTGAAATTTGAAGGAGTACAGATGCCATTTTTGTGATGGAAACAGGAAAATCTCTGTCTGGATGTGAAACTGCTTTTGTTTTACTCTTTGCTAGAATATTTGCCATTGAAGGAGATTTAACAATGCCAATTGATTTAACAATGCCAATAAAAGTGTGGTTTTGTTGTTCCAGGCAGAGGAGGGCTGGTTCAGTCGTCGCTGTAAGAAGTTGAACCACTCCATGAGTTCTCTCTCCTTCCTGGTGCCGTCTTTCCTCACTTTCTCCTTCTCAGAGGAAGGTATGTTAACAACCATGGGCTTCTGTAGAAATGTATACAAATACTATAGTATGAAAGATGGGTTCTATGTGTCTTGGCATGGATTACATACTGTTAAGCTCTAAAAAGGTTTAGATACACTGATACTGTATTACAAGTCTTGGGAGACTTCTATTGTCTTGGATTTTTTAAAATTTGAGACAAGCAAAGTTGGGAAGAGTGGACTTATGACTGTGTATCTTGCACTTTCTTCTCCATTTTTGGATCCATATAGATGTGAAATTTTTCCCAATTGTACAATGCCCATATCTGGCCTGTACCTTACCACACTTAGTATTACTGCAGTGCAAGAGCAGTGGTAGAAATACTTTTTTCTGCAATGTTGCAGAATTGTCAAAATTTTGTTCTGCAATTCAATAATACTTTCTGCAAATACACACTTATTATTATTTATTAAAAGTCTGGATCTAAACCCATGGCATATACAAAATTGCATGTGGGCAAACATTTTACATGCAATTTGAAAAATACATGAAAAACTACTTGTATATTATAGAGTCAATACAAAAGCTATTAAACACTGTTGAACCCCAAGCTTGATTTTTTCAGTGTGCAAAATTTCAGGTTGCTTCATTTTTCTTCCGCAATGTTGAAAATGTCTCTGCAAAATGCAGATTGCAGGTGGGTATTTCTAACACTGAAGAGGTAACATGCACAACACCAAACCCCCTCTAACAGATTCTGTCCTTTTCATAGACCCCATAGTGCAGATAGAAGTAGACAACAGCCGGCATGTCCTCTACACACGGACAGAGAAGGGCACTCTGGAGGTGTTTGACCTTGGTGCTGATGGGACCGCCATGGGGCGTGTCTCCTGGATGAACCAGTCCACTATTGTACAGTATGCAGCAAGGATCGCCAGGTACGTTTACTAAGGCCTTCTGGAATGTCACCAATGCACATTATAAAAAATGGTTCTCACTAGCCTGTTTGAGCATAGGGGCCCCCCTACACTGTGATTTGGACCCCTATGCTGTGATTTGTTAGCCTGGGTGCCATCTGAATTTGTAACAATTTTTTCGGGGTAGCCGTTACAAATTCGGATGGCACCCAGGCTAGTGATTTTGACCCCATATACCGTGATTTAGCCCCTAAACTCTTTCAACCAGCGTAGGGGTGTTTTTTGAGGGTGAGAACCTTCTGATTTTTCACAAATCTTTAAAAAAAAGCAAATTTGACTAAGGAATGAAGCCAAAACAGAGAAAAAACATCAACTTCACAAATCCTGGTAAGAACCCTGTACAAGTACCAGTGGGACTTGTTTCTGTATTTATCTTATTTAGGACAATCTTATTGAACTAAAATCCTAATTGTGTATTTCATGTTGTACCTTTTTTAGGGAGGCCTACCCAGTGCCAATAATGTATAGTTGAGGCATGAAATGATTCTTATAAACAAAGTTGTTTAAAAACAGGAGATACAAGTCATGTAAGAAGTTTTTGATTGTGATTGACTGTTGTAAGTTGATGAAGCTGTTTTGTTCCTACAGCACCATTGACAGGTCCAACTTCAAGTCCATCGTACACATCTCTGCTGTTCCTAATACAGACTCCACCAACATACACCTGGTAGCAGTCACCCAAACAGGTCAGCTAGCAAAATTTTTAGATAATGCATTTTAAATACATTTACCTTCACCGAAGGGAAACATATTGTTTTTGCTCTGTTTCTTCTTCTTTCTCTTTTTCCTCCTCTTCTTCTCCAAACTTATAAGGTCAATGACCAGGACCAGACGTCTGTCACTATAATGGTAACTGGTGTCGGGTTACATCATGTTGCAAGTGCCATGCAGAACTGAGTTCAAGAGGGGCTGCATGGTTACCATATATATGAGTGTGTTTGAGTAAGCACAAAGCAGTAGTTTGTTAGTTGAGCTGGGCTATGTGATGGTAAACATGATGCATTTTCTTTGCAAATGTTACCTTTCTAATTTAAAACTGAATTTGTACCAGTTTTACTTGTACCGTTGTTCTTTCACTTTCTCAGGAAGATTCTAGTTTGGTATATCTGTAACAAGTTTGTTATGTTCCCCAGGAGTGAGGCTGTATTTTACGACCAGCTACTTTAACCAGCCCCAGGCACGCCCCAGTCTCCTGGCCCTGGTGCATGTCCGTCTACCCCCTGGTTTTACTGCCACTGCTGCACCCCAGAGACCAACCAACATCCACTCAGCCTTCTATGGGAAAGGTAAAGTTAACCTACTTTTAACAGGGCTCTAGCCAGCACCTGTGTTTCCTTCAATTGCAGGAACTATCTGGCATGTGATGGAATTATTTTTAAATTTTTGATGGACAAAATTGAAGAAAAATCTTAGGTAAAAATATAAAGGACCACCACCAACCCTGTGAAATTGCATTTTTAGAGGCTTGAAACTGAAAGTCCCAAATTTGCCCCTGGACCCCCCTAGATTGTGAGCACACACACGTAAAAGTAGTGAAGTGAGGAAAGTCGTGTTAAGTGCCTTTCCCAAGGGCACAAGATCGGTGACATGGGCAGGATTCAAACCCGTGACCTCTTGGGTGTGAGCGGAATGCGCTACCGACTGTGCCACACGACCCCACAACTAGCATACTACTAGCATGTACCTAACTGTTCTTCTGTTGCAGGTTCCACATTGCTGGCCTCCTCTCAGGCAGAAGACTCTGACATGTTGTGGTGCCTCAGTACAGACACTTTCCCCTTCCAGATCCCTCTCATGGAGACTCAGGTCAGTTTTTCTGACCCTTTAACCTTGACCAAAGTTTCACCTACATCATGTCTTATTCGTCACAATCCGACTTCATGTCTTATTTGGGAAAACATTGTCAAAGTGAACACTTCCATCTCATAAAGCCACACTTTATATCCAAAATATTTATTTGTCCCTCATCTTAATAGATGCTAAACAGATGATAAGCATTTTGATAAGTTTGTCATTTTTCATTGATACCACTTTGCTATATACATGTACATGGATGAGCACATTGGCAGAACGTACTTCACCTGTGCGAAATCATGATTTTTGGATATTTGGTCAACATTGCATCAGAATTTTGCCTGTTGCAGAGGATATCTTTGCCAACATGACATTTGGAAACTACAGATGGGATAATAACCTTATACGCCTGAATACGACCTTATATGAGACATTCTTGGGCCAAAGTACTATGCACAATACATTACGGGTTTCACGCAGGTGCAGTATATTCTGCCGACGTGCTACATAGATATAAACAAGTCACTAGAGCCCAGACGTATAACAGAATTTTGGCTCCCAAAAACCAACGATCATATCAACTTGTGAACAGATAACACTTGGCATTGACGGGAGGACTTGGGTCCTAACGGAGGTGTCAGATGGCGAAGACTTTGGCATCTTCGGGCCCAAAAATGGAGCTGCTCCCCCCAAGTCCCTGCCCCCAGTGGTGGTGAACCAACACTGGCTACCTCCTAAGAGATACGTGGTGCTCAGTGCACAGGTGGGTGTTTACGTCAACAAATATTTCTTTTTGAGAGGTTAGGTACGTCTAGTATTTATTGTCTTTCAACTTATTGTCTTTTAACTGAAAGTAAGATAGTTAAAGTGAAATTTTAAACATATTTGTTTTACACATTTTCTTGCGATATAAGCCTACCGGAGTTCATAATGACATTTGGGGAGTAAAAGATCAATGTCGTTGTGCTGCAAAAACGTGTTGGAAGCTGCCGAAGATACCCAAACGAAAACCACTGTTTGCGTACACTCTTTTTAGGAGCCTCCTAAAAATACAGCGGGCCTGGGGCAACATATTCTTGTACTGCACTGAGTCGCTGGAAAAGAGAAGTAGTGATGCTAATACATGTATGTTTAAAGTTATTGAAAATGACAATCTAGATGAGAAAATTTCAATTATTTATACTTGCAGTTTTGGCGCAAAAATCTTACATATTATCACTTAAAATAGTAGTCAGTTTATCAGTTTCGAGTGTTAGTTGACTTACTACAACCTGTATATACATCATTGTACATTAAGTTGGTTGAAATATCATACTTGTTTGTTGCCACAGGGAAGCTACTTACTGAACCAGCTGCGACCGGTTGACCAGCTGAGGCAGTTGTTGCTAAGTAACGGAGGACCAGACTGTGAGGAGGTGGAGGCCTTCTTCAAACTGCTGAGGGATGAGCAGGCCTGCGCCACCTGTCTCATCCTAGCCTGCTCCAAAGCTGCTAGTGACCAGGAGGTCAGAGTTCTCAAACTTTTGAACCGAAAACTTTGTTTTACTCCAAGCTCCAAGCACACAAATTCTCACATGTTGCCATAGGTCAAAAGTGAATCGATGTAAAATTCAGGTTGTTTCATGCCCTTGGTTTTCAGTCAGAGTATGACTGTAGATCAATTGAACCCAACCACCCCCATGTGGTATCTCCCAAGCTAAATGACATGTGACCCACGATTCCTCATGGCACATGGAAGTCAAAATGGAGAGTTTATCTGTTCACCTTCGCAGAAGGAAAAGACAGACATCTGTCACCATGGTAACTGGTGTTGGTTTACGTGATGTTGCAATTTTATAGCAGGACGTATTTAGACTCCTGTCACCATATATAATTATATATGAATGTGTTTGAGTAAGAATTAACAGAGCAGACCACATGCGAAGGTAAACATTATGCATTTGCTTTGCAAATGTTACCTTTCTAGTTAAAACTTACTTTTCTGTGTTGTTTCATTTTGTCCCTAACCTTGTCCCTGCTCCCTTCCCCCATAAGCAATAGAGAACTGGTAGTCAAATGTGTACTAGAGGTTAGTATTGTGACTGACAGATGTTTGACACTGTTTTCTTCCATACAGGTTTCAGAATGGGCGACTCGCGCGTTCTTCAGGTTTGGTGGTGAGGCCCAGTTTGCCTTCCCTGTGGCTCCAGACATCACTAACATGGGGCAGGCTCCAGGTGGTGGACCTAATCCTCAATACTGTGTCTTTTCATTTCATATAATGCACTGACATCATCTACAGAGTTATAGATGCAACTTTGACTTTTCAACTCTATTTAGTAACTGTTACAGTATTCTATAACATTAATTAACATGAGTGTGAACTCAATTTAGGTCCATGCAAAAAGGAACAAATCTTCTTTGTAATATTCAACTTTATATATATAACAACCATTATACCTGCACACTCCCTATTTGGGTATATCATTTACCTTATGCAGTATTTCCTATGCTTATCGCTAGGTGGCGCACGTGTACAAAGCTCTAATCGCAAAGCATCACGGGATATCATGACGTAATGACATTGTTCGCCGCCATTTTCCTTGTGATTCGCAGAGGGGTGCACGTTCGTTTCCCTACTCCTTATTTTTTCGGATTTTCTTTCGGCGTTAGGCCCAAAAAGAAGGATAAAACGAAGTCTTCTGCCCACGAGGGCGATTCAGGTAGCCTTTCGGAGGACCAGACGGGTCGTAACGGCAAGAGAAGCGGCCTGTTTCCCAACGCTAGTCAGGAAAAATTCCTGGCCGTGGAAAAGACAGGCGTGTCTGCACAAGCCTCCGGACAGGAGGAAGAGGAGTCGGGTGAACGAAAAGTCCCCGCTCCTACAGCTGGAGGTTCGGAGGAAAAAGAGAAGAACTCCAACCTCATTCCGCCGTTTGGGAGCGAAATGCCCCTTCGGCGTTGGCACCGGGAACATCCGCCACTTGGGAGCGAAATGCCCCTTCGGCGTTGGCACCGGGAACATCGGTCAAGGAAGGAGACAGCGCGGAGCTGCCGCCGCCCCGGCCTAAATTTCCTCCGGACTCGGAGGAGTTGGGCTCCCCGACCGTGCCGAAGCTTGGTGGGGAATAGTCTCCTCCACCCCCACCTCCATCAGAAACACCCTTCCCGCCTGGATTCGACGCTGCCTCTTTTCTTCAGTGGATCAGTTCCAGCTTGGGACTTCCTCAGGCGTCCAGTTCATCCCGTCAACCTCGGGACGTTGACGGGGCGGTAGCGTCGACCAGCCGAGCCGGTGTAGTCGGTTCCGGCGAGAGCATCCAGGTTCTGAAGTGGAAGAGTGTTCGGAGGAGGGAAAAAATCACCTTTTTCTGACTCTGACGAAGGTAACTCCTTGTCGTTTGATAATCCCTACGATAATAACTTCAAATAAGTATTTGGAGGAACCGGTGGGCAAATCGGTCTTGAAGACATGTTTCATATCTTGTTTCATGTCCTTGCCACACATTTCACGTCTATACTGAGTCATAGTAGAGGAAGCTGATCCCAAAAATCACCAAAGACGATTCTATCGCTTTGCAAACAGCATCGGGTTTAGAGGATGGTCCGAACCCTTAGTGAAGAGAGGAAGGAAAACTTTTCCCACTCCACCTAATGTTGAATTAGCACTTCGGGCGCCGATTCTAGACCCAGTAGTGGCTAATATGATCAAGCATGATACCGTAAACACTGATAAGAATTTTAGTGATTGCCAGGATAAGATGCTCATGGCTGCTAACCTT